ACTAAAACCAAACCAAACCAAATCAACCAACAAACCCAGTCACTGTTAAATTACCCTGTAGATCAAATGGACTGAATAGGAACCTACACAATATTCCATCCAAGAAGTGCAGAATACACTTTGTATTTAGCACATTATGGAACTTCCCCCAAAATACACATTTTTAGGCTGTAAAGGAAGTTTTATCAATTATAACAACAAAAACATGAAATAATACCATGTATTATTAGATTTTTAGAAACTAGATTATTTTATTAGATTATTAGAAACTAGAAATCAACAGAAAAACTTCAGAATTCATACAAACACATGGAGATTGAATAATGCACTTTTGACTCATCAGTGGGTCACTGAGATCAGAGGGGAAATATAAAAATTTCCACAGCCAAAAGATTAAACAAGACAACACATCATAATCTCTAGGATACAGTAAAGGCAGGTCTGTGAGGGAAGTTTATAGCTTCGAGTACCTGTATCAAAATGTCAGAAGAGATCTCAAATAATTAACCTAAGCATGTTAACTCAAGATCATATAAATACAACAAAACAAAAAACCAACAGAACAGACATATGAGATCAAAGTTAAAATTAAAAAGAACAAAATAATACAAAGGAACAATGAAACAGAGTTGGTTCTTTGAAAAGATAAACAAGATTGATAAACCCTTACCCAAACTAACGAGAGAAGACTCATTGATATAAATAGAGGCTAAAAAGGGGACATTATACAACATGTATCACTAAAATCTACAGGCTCATTACACACTATCTAGAAAGCCTGTACTGCAGTTAGAAAAATCTAGAATGGAAGTTTCTAGACACACATAAACTACTAAAATTGAATCATGAAGATTAAAAGCAAAACAAAACACACACCTAAACAAGTCTATAAGAAGCAATGAGGTTGACACAGTAATAAATATCTTCCAACAAAGAAAAGCTGAGACTGAATGGGTTCACTGTTGAATTTTTTAAGACCCTTAAAGAAGAACCAACCCCAGTGTTCCCCAAACTTTCCCAAGAAACAGGAAAGAATGCTTTTGCTTGCAATCTCATTTGAAAAAAAGGAAGAGAGGAGAGAGGGATGGGAGGAAGAAGGAAAAAACAGAACTGTAGCCAATATCCTTCGTGAACACGTGAACATAGATGCAAGGATTTTCAATAAAATACTTGTGAATGAAGTTTTAACAATACACTAAAAAGATCATACAGCATGACAAGCTAGGTTCATTCCAGAAATCCAAGTGTTTAAAAACACACAAATCAAATCAATATACCAAATAAATAGAACCAAAGATAAAAATACATTAATTATGTTAATAGATGCAAAAAAAAGGGCCCGTGAAAAAACTTAAGATCACTTTACAATATAAAGCCTGGCACAAAGAAGGCACAGATGATATTACCTCAACATAATGACTGCTATATATATGATACACACAAAGTTACCTGAAAAGAAACTAAAAACATTTCCTCTACAATCAGGAACAAAACAAGGATACCTTCCCTCATAGTTTCTATTTAATATACTATTGAAAAATATACAACAATCAAATAGGGGAAAAAAGGATACAAATAGTACAAATAGGAAAGGAGTAAGTCATATTATCCTTACTTGCTGATCCTATAGTCTTATACTAAGAATACACAGATGATTCCACCAGAAAACTTTTAGATCTGATAAATTCAGCAAAGTGGCAGGATACGTTTTAACACTCAAAAATGAGCAGCTTTTCTATACCCTAGTAACAAACCTGCCAAGAAAAAAAAAAATCAGTGAAACAACTACACTTACAACTAGTTAAAAAAATAAAACCTAACATATGTAAGAATAAACTTAAGTAAGGAGAAAGGCATCTAAACTGAAAAAAATTTAAGAAGCCCCCCCCCAAAAATGTTAATTCAATTAATAAATGGGGCAAATTAACTGAACAGACATTTTTTTAAAGAACATGTACAAATGGGTAATTATGGCTCATTAATGGAAAATAGTTCAACATCTTTAGCATGAAGTAAATACATATAAACTACCCTGATATTCCATTTCACTGGCTATCATGAAGAACATAAAAAAACAATGAACACAGGTGAAAAGTGCGGAGTAAAGAAATTTATATCCTGTTGGTGAGTATGTAAATTAGTGCAGCTACTATGGAAATCAGTGTGCAGATTCCGTGAACCTGAAATAGAGCTACCATACGGTACAGCTATACACCAATACTCAGCATTCACGAGAAGAATTAAAAATCAGCATACTGTAGAGATCCTCCATTTCCATATTTGTCCTGGTGCAATTCACAATAGTCAAGCCATGGTATCACTCAAGCTGCTTGTCAACTGATGAATGTATGATAAAAACATCATATATATACACAATGGAGTACTATTCAGCCATAATTAAATCATGTCATTTGTGGGAAAATGGATGAAACTAGATAGCGTCATGTAAAGTGAAATAATTCAAACTCAGACAAGCATGTTTTCTTTCATATTAGAATCTAGAAAAAAATCTAAAAACATGACAAAAGTAGAAGGAAGACCATTAGATATGAGGAAGCGAATCAAGGAAAGGTAAGGATAAGAGGGTAGAAATAATCAATGTATGTTTATATGTATGTAACAATATGCCACCTTTCTGTATAATATACACTAGTAAAAAATATAAATAAAGTACACAAACAGAAGAATACTTCCAATGTGAAAATAATTTCAAGATCAACTCAAAACAGTATTTTTAAAAAGCTCAAAGAAGCAAAAGAAATTACTTTAAAAATACTGTAAGAGAGTTCAGGGATTTAGCTCGGTAGTGTAAGTGCCTGCCTAGCAAGCGCCAGGTTGTGAGTTTGATCCCTGGTACAAAAAAGTTATCAGAAGAAAAATTAAGTAGTAGGATCCAAATAGGAATAACTGCCTATATTGTGAACAATCAGAAGAAGATCAAGTTCCTAAAAATTAAAAACATGACAGTCGAAACACAAGCTTAGCAGAATGAACAAAGACAAAGTGGAATGGAGCTTCTAAAGGATAAAATAGAGACCAAGGTCAGTAACAGGAAGTCAGCCAGAAAACAGAATTAATTTTGCAAGTAATAACAGCCTACAGTAAGTGGAGTCTATATTCTCTTGGCTGAGAATACAGAAGGCATAAAATTAACAAAGAAATAAGAACATTCTCCAAAATGAAGACTCCATAATGAAAGCTGAGAACCAATACAATGGATGAGAAAAGGCATGCATCAAGATACATCACTAGGAAATTCTAGGAAGTTGGAGAGAAAAAAGAAATCCTAAAAGATTTATGAGAATATTAGCTCACAAATAATCTAGCAGTAGAAATGAGCAACCCAATAGCAATATTGGAAGCTAGAAAACAGTATGTCTCAAAAACGTCAAAATTCTGAAAACAGTATTTTAATCTATCGATTGACCAACTGTGATAGTACAATAAAGTCTTCAAAAATATAAAGAAACTAAAACAAGTTACTTTTCATAAAATTCTCAGAAAATAACTACAATGTGCTCCATCAAAACGAAAGTTAAGCCAAGAGAAAGACATAAAAGTCCAGGTATAAGGGGACTATTCAGGGTATTTCTGGGAAAAATCCCAGGACCACTGTAGATATTCAAGAGAATAATCAAACAGACAGGTCACCAGAAGGCCTTCATGAGGCCAAAGGGCAAGACGAAAAAGGAACTGACAGGTTTTCTAATAGTTCTGGTAACGTACAAAGAGGCATCTGCTCGAGCCCACAGGTGTCTCCCCTCCCTTGACTTTCCGTTTATATAAAGAATATTGTATGTAACTATCCTCTCTGCCTGAATTCCCATTCCGCAGACCATACACCTTCCTCTTGATCAATTTCCAATGCCAGCTTATCATGAAAGCTGTCTCAAACGTTCACACATCTTCCTTCCCCATCACACGGTTTCTCAAATCCAAAATTTTCTACTTTGTACTCATCACTCTATTATATATATTTATTGATCACCAACTTGCCCCACCAAATATAAGTTCTGAGAAGGAACAGAAATTTTGTTTGTTTCTTTGAATAGAAATATAAGTGACCAAAACATATTTTTTAAATAAAGTCTAAAAAAAAAAATCAGTAAAATAAAAATTACGTCAAGTTTCAATGTAAATGAAAATAAACACATGCTATTTGCCTCAGAAGGGAATACTTAACAATTAAAATAATGAAAACACTGTATGTGGGCTAATGCAAAACTTATTCTGTAACTAACGCAAAGACGAGAACAATGAAAGCTTGGTCTCCTTCTAATATCACAGTCAGCAGGTCACCTGTAAGTCCAGTGACTCAAGAAATGATAATACTGCATATATTTTGAAATATGAAGTGAGAAAAACAGCTTACAGAGTTGTAAATGGTAACAGTAGAGCTCATGAGACTACTGTTTTGTTATACATGACAAGTATCACTGGACAAAAATAAAGCATTTACTTAAAAAATGTGTTTCCTAAGTTTTAAAAAAGCTTGAGTGTTGGTAATTGATAGCACAGTGACCACCACACAGTACTTCATAAACATCTGTTGCATGGATGGATAGATGGATGCTGACTATATTAAAAACACATGCAAGGTAGTATCTAGATTTCATATTAAAATACACAGAAATTAAGTTTTTGACAACAGAAAGATAAAATGCTTTATGATTTTTTAAAAATATAAATCATTGGAAAAAATGAAAAACACAGAGACTTTTAAATTATGGCCACCAAGTATTGATAGATTTAAAATTTACAGATGAAAAATTTCTTCAAGTTATACTTAAAATTATTTATTTTGTTACATTTTATAGTTACCATCTACTGCCACCTAGTGACTACATCTGCAAGTACCGCCTGGTTAGCAAATGGAAAGGTTTTTCACACTTATAACTACAAAAGTGAATAGATCCTTAACCATTCTTCCATCTCAATTCACCAGCTAAGTTCTGAACAAGAATATAAATGCAAAGGAAAAACAGTCAGCAAAGCTAAAGTGTTTTATTAATAATTTATTGTCAGTAAGAAAGACTGGCTAATGGTAGTTTTCAGTAAAAACCTTTACAAGACCATTGCATCACAAATATACAGACACTATAAAAACTGTGTCATGGTGGTTTTGGTTCTAAACAGGTATGCAGAAGGTCCCCATTACACTTTCCAATAATGAAAAATGTTTGTAATTCTAAAATACAGCAACCCATTTAAGGTATGTCCATGTATATCTTTCCTCTTCTTCTATGTACAGCTAGAAATAAACGATTATACTGAAATGTGTTAATGAAGTGTCATACTTCAGTGAAAAAGAACATACAGTGAATCCCTGGTTATATTAAAATCAGGGTGCTACCACCCCCCAAATCCAACTGAAAACAAATGCGCAAAATATCTTGAAAATCTAGTTAAAACTATGAAAAAATCAAATCTGTACATAAAATTTACAAAAAAAGACAAGAAGAAATTACAATAATCAAATCTATATAAATACATGAGTCATGCTAACAAGATGGTAGAACTGATTTTCGTTTCATTACTTTAACACAGACAAATGCAAATACAAAAAGATGCTCAGAAATGGCACAGCCAATGAAATCTCACCCAATTACAGTAGGTTAGGACACTGGAAATGGCTAACATATCAAGAGGTGCGTGATTCAGTGCAGCCATGCCCTTTTTAGCTCACCGAAAAGAAGCGCTTAAGCACTGCTGCAAAGAACAATGCAGATTATTGATATACAATCTCTAGGTTTGTTAAAGTCCAGGCACTTGGGGGGGAGTGTGAGCGTCAGACTTCCGTATGTTGTTGGGAATCTAGTGGAGGAATTGTCACTTCTTCAAAGTGGGCGTCATCCCCACTCTCATAGTCACTCATCATGACCTCAGACTCCACTTCACAGCACGCTGACACATCTGAGCAAGAGGCTGTGGAAGCATACACAGACATGGGCATGTTTTCTACAGTGGGAGCGTCAAAGTTTCTTTGATATCCTGGAGGGTAGGGGGCATAAGGTTCTCTGCAAGTACTATTCTCACCAGTGCCTTTTTTTTGAGGTTCAGACATATCCACTGGATAGAAATTGGGCAGATACTGATTCAAGTTGAACCTCTGCCGATTTCTGGGTGAAGACCCCAAGCTACCTGCAGCAGGCATGTCTCTAGGCGGGTGTATAGACTCAAACTGATCACTGAATTCCGGAGGCAGAGGTGGTAGCTCATCAGTCGCAGGGAAGTCTTCTGGTGGTGGTGGAAAATCACTTTCAATGTCATAACCTCCAGGGTAGTAGTCAGTATCGATGGCATTTGGATCTGCTGAGTACAGGGGAGTGTGCTCGTCAATCACCTCATAATTGGGGAATTCCTGTATGTCTGGCAGAGGGACGCTCGGCATCCAATCTGATGTATCCCAGTGGTATCCTGAGCAGGGAGAGAACAAGAGATTTCAGTATGTTGTATCCTAAGTTTTCATGCCTTAGAAAAATGCTCAGTGTATCAAAGACATAAAGATGCACATGTGTTTTTGTTCAAAGCTCATTACTTTGAATGTGCAGTTTTAGTATACACCAAATACTTAAGGAAAAGAAGAGTTCCACCAGATGCAATCTGTAGCATCTAAATTTCATGCACTTCCCTGCAGACGATTCAAACTGTCCTTTCACTTTGCCTCTGTCACTTGCAACTTACTGCACTACATGAAGGAAGTATTAGTCCCATCTTAAGACATCAGTCCTTTCAGAAAGGGGGAGTCCTTAGTGAGTTTAAAAAAAAAATCAAATGTTACTTGATCTGTATTACTTGTCAGTCAATACTAATTAACATGACTTGTTAAAACACTAGCAGTAAACTTTGGCATGTCAAAATTTAGAAACTTTCTTTATAATAATGTAGTAAGTGCAATATTAAAAGCAGTACTGTTTTCCTTTAGCAGAAGGCAGTGCTTTGACTTATCTGTAGAAAAGTGCATACAATTTAGATGCTGTGTAGACCTTCTGTTGGAACTCTTCTCTCCTTAAATTCCTAAAACAATTATCTTTAGACAGGTATGTTTCAAAGCATGCTTCCAAATCAAGCAAAATACAACCAAACTAGTGTTGCAAAAGAAATTTTTGATGGACTATAACAATCTTTACTGTTTTAAAAAGGATCAAGGATCATTTTAGACTGTGTCATTACGTTTTTTAAAAACCTCCCAAGGCCCCTTTTTTCTTCTTAGGATTTTAAAAATCCTCTCACAGGCAGGAAAAGGTTAGTCGAGATGTGCTTCGAATGCAGGGCATAACAACGAGGGACTTGTCTGCTGCTGCAAACACTGAGCAACCAAGCGAAGCAGGTCAGCACTGAGGGAGAATCATTACCAAATGTTTTTAGTGATTTATCAATGAACAACTGGCATGCATAAGTCACCTCTTGATTTGCTGAGGTCAGGAGCAGCCAAAGATTCTTTTGGTGGCAAAGTAGAAAGAAAAGAAAACATTGATAATTAAAACAGACAGCTGAAAAGGCAACAAAAGTAAGCATACAGTACAATGTAAACTGTTTGCAAAGGCCCAGTCAGCCGTGTAGTATGTCTTTGTGCTATTCTCTATAAAAATTACAAATGGCTGAGAAACTTATGTGGTACAAATAAAATGGGATCTGGAAAAAGAAGACAAAGATGAACGATGATAAGGTAGAGACTTTGAAGGACACTCAAATATTTTATTTTTCTTGTTTCTGACAATCTGACCTGAAAACACAGTTTTTCTTAGAAATAATTAAAACCCAAAAGCTTTAATAAAACATGAATTCATCAGGTTTCTCATGTATGTATAATTCAAGTACATAAACCTATTGTACATATACATTATAGTATAGCCTAACCTTCAAAAATACAAAACTCACAAACTTACGATAACTTACAGATCACTAAACGCTGAACATTTCTCTCAACTCTACCACTCTGAATATGACTGTGTATTTGCAGTCTTCCTTTCCCCGGAGAGATCAGCAGCTACACTAACTCCTTATTCAAATCTATGATTATACGTGCTCTTTCAGGACTCTCATTTACACACAGAACTCCAGGCACAAAGTCTGAGGAAGTGCCTGTAAATCTCAAGGTCATGAACACTTATGCAGCCTAAGCTTCAGGTTTTCTCTTTGAAAAGTGGGTGAAAATCCCTGGATTAAACAAAATAAATATAGCACTAGTACTACTAAGTACCACTGATACCTGTCAAAGTAACAGTTGTGATAGAAATAGGGGCATGTTAGTGATTTTTTTAAAATAAGGCCCATGCTTTCTATGCATTCTAGTGTTCTTGAAATTCACATGATAAACTGATTTGGAAGAAAGAGTATCCGATTGCTGCCTCTTTTGGTAACTTAAAAAACTGAAAAGACTGATGGTTCTTAAAAATGAATAAGTTAGTATTTAGGAAACATCTTTAAAGCTTTTCTTAGTGTACTAAAAATGTAGTATTCCTTTAAAGTGAGAAATGGTAACTTTTGTTACTAAACAGGCACTTTGATGAACCTTTAAATTTAAGCTAGCTTTCAACTTTTAAATGCAATTTACATTTCTTAGATATGAAAAAATATTCCCCAGTGGTCATCACAGTGAAGAAACTATTTAAATTCTGTTTCTTTAAATTCCATCAGTATTTAAAACATTGGGCTATTGTCACATTAAAAGTAAAAGTTGTAGGTGAATAAAACTAGCCTTCTGATTTACTAAGGAAAAATATAGTTCTCCTTAAGCAAATAAGCCAACATTCCTGAGTAACTGTAGCAACAGTGACACATTAGCCCTGCCTCTCACTGTGGAATCCAGCAGGAAATCATCCTTCTCCCTAGATCTAACACCTGCATCTTGAGAGCACACATGGCCCAGCAGTTCTGCAGTGGTGCTTGTGTATTCTTGACAGTTTACAGAAGTAGTTCTCAAACTCTGGCTCCTACAGTGGGAATATCAGGATTAAATGGGATTTAGTTTAAAGTACGAACTTTCAAGGCTCAACCCAGCCCGACTTGTTAAGAAACTTCGGTGTGAGGAAGCAGCAATCAAGCTTTTCAGTCTTCTAGATGACCTAATTTTATACTGCAGCTGGAAAACCATTAGCTTGTGCCTTTGGTTTGAGATGAGTCTAACTGCAAAAAACTAAGTACTAATATGTTAAAGGGGTAGTCAATGTCTTTTCTTCTACTTTTGAAAAGATAAAGCTTCTTACTAAATGATTTTATGAAATTAAATACCAAATATACCTTCTTCCATTTTCTTTGCTCAGATTTAGAGAAAAATCAAAGTCAAGAATCAGTTTTAGGTAATCATAATGAAAGCTTTATGATATTTAGTCTTATTCATAGAGCTCTTTGTATTAAACATTTTAGGTAGTTAAAATTGTTGAACTAACGCTTAGCACTGTACCACTTAAAGATTAATTCTGGAGATTCTATAGGTTGCCTGCAATGTCAGTATAAATCACTATGAACAGAAAAAAGTAAAAAAAAAAAAAAAAAAAAAAAAGAATAGTATACATAAAAGATATTTTTGCAATGAACCTGGATTATGAACACACACATCTTCATAACTTAAATGTATTGAACTTCCCCAAACCAGAAACTAGTTTTCATAACATTATAGCTGCCAAAAGCACTCCAGTGACAGATCACTGCAAAACACAAATACAAAACGAAAACATTTATATGACTATACCTTCTTTGTTCACCATGTCAACTACACTGTTGACAAGGTGTATTACAGTCACTATGGAAGCTTGTAAAAAGGTACAAAAGGATTCAATTAGAAAAATTTCAGTTAGAAAACAGTGCATAAAATAAAATCTTAGTACTATGCAATTTCTGCTCTATAATTTAAAAATGTGAAATTAATGCTTAAATACAACCATATAATTATGCATGCCCCTGTATTCTATTAGCTGTAATATCTTAGACTTTTCTAATTAAGCTATTTACTTGCTATTATTAATAAAAGTAATAAAGTAATCATGTTTTACTGGAATTTAGGATGAATTTTTTTTAGCTATACTTTTTTTCACAATTGTAATTATAGATTGTATTGGGACAAAACAATTCTTTTTACATCTCATGGGCAAGCAACTTAATATCTGAAGAACTTATACACTGTCCCAAGGGGGAAAAAGTTTGAGGAGATACATATGCAATACAAATACAAAAACAGTTTTGGCAGTTTGCCCTCATCCCAAACTTCTTGTCTTTTAGCAGACAGACTGATAGCTGGTAAACTAACACCAGCAGAGAGTATAGACCATTTGGGCATTTCTTGTGTAAATTCCTTTGTCTTCTATATATAAGATTGTTTTACACTATCTATATGAGATAAATATGTGTGGACAGAGCAAAAAGAAAGATGGCCCTAGAAGCTGCCCACATTCTGATTCAGGGAACCTACGATTACGTTACCACAAAGCGGAGTTTATTCATATGATCAAGTTAAAGACCTTAGGAAGACGAGAGACTTTCATGAACTCTCTGGGTGAACCAGATGAATTGAGAAAGGTCCTTTTTCTCCTGCTTGTGGCTGGAGGGAGCTATAACTATGCCTAAAGAAAAGCAGTGGAATGCAATGTTGCTGACTTAGAAAGATGAAGAAGCCATAAGCCAAGGAATGTGGGCCAGGCCATCTCTAGAACCTGGAAAACACAGGAAACAGATTTTTTTACCCAAAACATTCCAGGGAGAAATGCAATTCTACTGACCCATGATTTTAGCCCCATGAGGCAAGTGGTAAGCTGCTAGGCTACAGAACTATATAATAATTATTTGCCTTACTCTCAGCCACTAAATTTGTGGCAAACTCTATAAAAGGATTAAAAAATAAAATATAAGCACAGACTTTTATGACAGACTAGTTTTTATGATTATGATAATCGTGAAAATACCAAGACTACTATAAATGTTTTTTCCTTGCACTATACTGACAAACTAATATTAATAACTTTTTTGACCATAACTTATTAAAAGTTTTTAGAAGTATTATGGATAAGAATGTGGTTTCAACAAAAATAACTAGAAAAAGAAAAACTGACAAAATTCTGAAATGTACTAATGAAGAACATTTAGAAGCCAAGATATAAACTATACAAACTGACAACATAAATTTTTTAATGAAAAAACTACTACAAGTAGTTCTATTTTGCTTTTGTTGATTTTTGATCTGTTACTACAAATAAACACAGGTACACTTTGATATCACATGGAACATGCTTACAAAGGAACATACTTTGGGAAAAGGCTTCACACTGTGACAGACTACGTGAACTATCTAGATGCAATGTGTTACGAACTGCATTGCTCTGAGTTATGAGATACATTACTCTGCAGTAGGTAATTATTAGTAATGGATTATTTCTTTCCACAAGTAAAATATATGTAAAACACACTACATTTTTCTCCCCTCAAAATATCGTTAAACAAAGCTACAATTTCTGAGACTCGAAACCTACTTTATTGTGTTACTGAGTCTTGACAGCCATCTCTCTATTCTGGTATGTGTTAATAAGGTGAAGCTGGTTATCAGTGCAATTTACTCCAGGGAAATCAGATAAATACAAATGGTGTCACGTATCCCACTGTCAACCCTTCTTCATTAAAAACATAATCAAACTTACTAGCAATCTCTTAAAACTGTGCTCTCAGTCAGTACGCTCTGATCCAAATGGGAGCTGGGGCCGCAGTGGGGTTGGGGGAAGAGACAAATAAAACCTTGTAATACCAAAGGTGTGACTGAAACTGTACATTTTAGACTATCATTTCTTGTTGTAGAGGGTGCACAAGTGTGTATTTTGTGTGATCAAAAAAGTTGTTCTAAGTGTTTTTGAAAAACTCCCAAAACTTTTTATAACATTTACTGGGATGCAAAAAAACAGTAGTAATAGGTACAGTCAATTAGAAATTATTTTTCAATGAATGATAATAACCTTCTTCCCTATTACTGATATTTTGTTACACTTAAAAAAAATCTATTCCTTAAGAAAATTTCAAATACATTCCCCAACAGATGTTCATGCAACTATGTACAAGATGTTGTTTAAAAGTGGTCCAAGTGAAATATGGAAACATTTTGCAACTGAATTAGGGAACCTAGCGCATCTGCATTGTAATATGTATCATGAGCAGCACCATGCACAACCACCAAGCGAGCCCAGCGTCAGCGCCCTGATACTCACCATTGTCGTCACACGACTCAGACTGGAAGGAGCTAAGAGACTGCACTTCAGACAGGCTCTCCCGGGCACTGTATGGCTGAGAAGGCTTTTCCTCCAGAGGTTTCTTGGAAAGACAGGGATCGAGATCCACCACTTTAGCTAAAGGAAGAGATGAGAATCAAACAGTAGGTTCCACTGGGCCAAGACTCTTCTTTTCATTGTTCCCCGAGATTTACTTAATAAATGAATCAGAAAGACTGAGATGCCATGGCGGGCAACAACAAAGGCAAGACATCTTAATACTTTTTGAATGCTTCTACTTCCTCTGGCCATGTTTTAAAAAAATGCTCCTGTCTAATCACTTTCTAATAAAGCCCTTCTCAGTCACAGTTGAGAACCACTATCACAAAAACCAAACTATCGTCCCAGAATATCAACTAGAAGAACATGACTAAATTGCTTCCTAAAATAACATCATAGCCAAAACGCCCAGCCAGCACTCAAGACCACCAAATTCTAAAGGTCATCAAATTTTAAAGAGTTCCGGACTTTGGGCCTATTTATTTCTAATAAAAACCCAACACTTTTTACTCTAACCGTCACTGGCTGGGCACACCGTGTAACTCACTATCTGGCTCAGAGAAGGTTTGCTGAGATGAGAAAAGCTGCTCTTACCGTCATAGTCGAAGTCCCAGCTAGGCTTCTGGATGGAGTCACTGTCAGAAGGAGAGTTCGAAGGAGGTGGGGGAGGCAAGTTTGGGGCAACGCTGCAGACGGCCACTGCTTTTCGGTGCCCATGCATGGACTCAGGGTTAAAAGTGCTGAATTCAGGATGCTCTGGTATAGCAGATCCTTCAAAGGAATTTCGGTCAAGATTGTTTCTAGAGTCACTAGGAATGCTTGGAGTGTAGGAAATAGGACGGACAGGCACCTGGGGTGGGATGTCTGAGTAAATGTTCTTATTTAGCTTTGAATCAAAATATGGTCTTTGCAAGAAAGCTGTGGTTGGTCCCAAATGTTTGTCTTCAGGTTCAGCCTGGTGTTTCTTCTTCCGGCTAATCATTTTGCGGCAGAGGACAAACACCACCACCAGCAAAAATATCCCTGCTATAAAAACAATAATTCCTATTCCTTCAGCTAATCCGATATTCCACGGAGTCGACACATAGAGATTGGGAGTGGCCTCCTCACAGTGCTTCCCTCTGTACTCGTGGCTGCAGTTACAGTGGTAGGAGCCATGCGTGTTCTCACAGAGGGCCCCGTTACGGCAGGGGTTTCCAGCACACTCATCAATGTCACTCTGACACCTGCCGACAAGATCAAGAATGAGGATCCTGTGCAGTGTTTCAGCCCAACAGTAGTTCACGGGGTGAGAACTAAAATACCCCCTAACAAGACACGCCAAAACAAAAGCAGTAGGAAACAACAAGAAAATACAACATCGACAATAATAACAACAATTTTGTAATAATCACTGATTCAGTGCTTGCTTTGAATGTATATGAGGGAGACAAACATATCATGCCAATATTAACTGCCACTTTTCTAGGACTCAACAGATTAGTAAATCAATTCCTTAGAATCAACACTGGTTTGTTTCCAGTTCTGAAAGCCAGGCCATCATTCAGAAATTTGGGGTGTTGTGTTTTGATAAATGGTAGGCTAGAGTAAATTTCTAAGAAACTGTTCCAATTTGGGAATATGACAGCTGTGTGAAACACGGAAAGTTGGAAAACCCTGTTTTCTATTTTAAAATGTTATCCCTGTTGAAAACTTTCCCGGGTTCCTAATCCTTACAGATTGTAAGAAGTCCTCTCTGCCTCTCCAAACCGGCATACCATACACATGTGGAGATCCACTTCCCACTTCTCAGAGCTTCCTCTTTCTTTAATAAGGGTCCTTCTAATCACCCTCCATAACACCTGGTTTAAAATTCTGATTACTGGTATGTTTTTGTCAAATAACGTTATTCATAATGAGACTTAAGAAAGTCAATTTCACAAACTAAGGCCACATGATCATGGCAAAATTCAGCACTACAAGCACTTTGAGGACAAAACTATATGGGAATATCTGCAAGCAGGTCACATACTAACAGCCATTTAATAAGACTGAGAGCAAATTCTTATCTAAATGCACTACTATGTATAGACACTTATTAATGAGTAATTTTTTAAGGCCGAACTGATGAGTAATCTAAAATGACATCCAAAACTGCAATCTTTCATTTGCTTTTTTCAATGTATACAACAGGCACTTCCATGACTTACTTCTGTCACCTAGAAAAATGCTAACTATATTTAGGATTATGGTAAGGATTATAAAAGATACTGAGAGAGCTGAAAAAGGTTCTAGATGTTACAAAGATGTTAGTTGTAGCATATTATGAAAAAAATTATTATTGCTTTCAAAGGTTGATAAATTCAGTTTCATAAGCATCTGTTTTTGGAAAACACGATAAACTCACTCATTTTACAAGCACTTGTTGCCTACAAGAACCCATATATTCTTTATTCATAAGCAATACCTCTACAGTGTAAGTAGACTTGTGAAGTATAATATTCATCTCCTTAAAATTTTCTTTTAGAGAGGAAAAAATATAAATTATAAAAAGCCAAAGAAGATTATCAAACTCTGAAGCAAGCAGTCTGAATTAATGAAGTTCTGTTGTGTCCACTGAGGAACATTATTACTATAGAATAGATATAAACATAAATCTTGATAGAAACCTCTTACCTTTCTCCCCTAAAACCTGAATCACACTGACAGACAGCACCATCCAAACTGTCAAAACATGTTCCACCATTTTTACAGGGTTCATCTTTGCAGTATGGGCTAAGCTGGCATCTGAAGAATAACAACAACAACAACAAAAAGCATAAAGCTCATGAGCCTATTGTAAATAAAGCAAAGAACAAAGCACTGACAAGTGAAGAATATAAAGCTTTTCTACATATAAAATTACATGTTTAAAAAAGTTTAACACTGCAATTCATTATGAAAGCTAAGAAACATGCACATACCTTTGACCAGTGTATAATCCTCTGCACTGGCAAACGAAGTCTCCATTGTCTACAACACAGGTACCACCATACAGGCAGGGGTTGGAGGAGCAGGGGTTGACGCTCACCTCGCAGTAGGTCCCAATGTATAAGGCACTGCACTTGCAGTAATAACCTAAATTAGCAAAAAAAAAAAAAAAAAAAAAAAATCTTGTTATTCAATGACTTGAAAGAACTATAATTATAACGGTTTATCTTTAACCTAAGTGAAAATTTAGTCTGAGATCTATATAAGCTAATAAAATTCCCGTTTTTCTCTGTGTAAACAATTGCCCATATGGACTAGTATTCCACTACTGGAACAGGTCAAGTATTACCTATCTAAAATGTCAACACTACTGATCATTCAGATTTTAGAGTTTTTGGATTCCAGAATACTTGTGTAGACTTCTAAACCAGCTGAGCATCCTAAACCTGGAAATTTGAAATCCAAAATTTGAAATTTTGATTGCCATATTGGCACTCAAAAAGTTGTAGATTTTGAAGCCATTGAGGTTTTCAATTTTCAGATTAAGGATGCTCCAAATCACAAAGATCCACAGTAAGAGTCCATAACTAGTTTTAATCATAATTTATATAAGATTATTGGGCCAATCACACAGTGCAGGGGCAAATCATCTTGTGCCTGAACGTGTGCACACAACACTCCTTAATAAACCAATTTATCTGATGACATAAGCACTGGAGGATTAAATAAGAAAATGAATGTGAAGACCACTTTTAAGTCGTTTTATAAAGGATATCATCAAATTTGTCTGAGTACAAAGCATACCACACTCTTTACTCTGTAAGACTGTGACATTTCAATAGTGTGACAATTTCCAACTATCTGCCTTTGGGAAACACTGCAATGTAGTATCTCCTCAACCTCCTTAAAAAGTTAATCACGGCTATGGGAGTTTTTTTGGTCAAAGGAAGTGGGCTGGGAGCTGGGAGTCTGAGAAATGAATGTGCAACAGCCATATTTCAGTGTCTCTCTCAGCGTCACTTCTAAGTGACTGTGAGGCCAGCCTCCTTGCAGCCCTGATTTGAATAGGTAAGTAGTAAAGCAGACTAGACACCTTTGCTGTCTTATGTCATGAGATTTTCAGAGGACTACAATGGAGATAACATGGCCTGCTCTACTGGCTTTAGCAGCCAACACAACTTTCCAAAGACAGAAGAAAACCAGATCTTTTGGAATTCCATTCAAAGTATTTTTTTAATTTTTGCTCTATTAGTTACACACAAGCTCTATTTAGAAGGCATGATGACCATCGCTTGTCTTAACTGTCCTCTATTAGTACTCAGAAGTAGCCCAATACAAGTCAGGGTGCAAAAGCTCCACAGCACACCTGCACTAGGGCCACAAGAGAGATGGGCAAAGCAATACTTCAGAGGGTCTGAGGCCTTCCAGAAGATCCTAACACTCCATACTCACTCCATCCTAACACTCAAGACTCCAGCAGGCCCACTGTGATAAGCAACTGGGTAATGATGACACCAAGAAAAAGGAAGTGATAATAATTTTACTTCCCCTGGGTTGGCCTCTGTGGGGCTGGAGGAGTTGAAGTTAATCATGTTTGCCTGGCTGGGGATAAGCTGAGTGAGGAAACACATCTTGCTCAGCACTTGGGATATGACTGCAGATGCTCGGCAGCCACAGGCACAGCGCTTGCCAGTCCAGCTGCTGGGAAAAATTCTAAGCTCTGCTCTCCGTTAACACATTACCACTGACCTGTGATTGTACTTCACATACTAGCGTTAATCTGATCGTGTTGTTTGCAGAAGGGTTGAAAAAATAACCATGTTGAGGAACTTAGATGTGATCGGAACACCACAAAGCCTACCTCCTGTAGGTGATGGGTGACAGATGCCTCCATTCTGACAAGGGTTACTTGAACAGTCTTCTGTGGCTGTTAATAAGCACCCAGGAGATACATCCACTGAGTCTTCAATGTGTGCATAGCTTCTTGGTTTGCTATTCAAAGGCAGCTCCTGCCCATTCAAATAAATGGAGTCCATGCAACCCCTAAAACCGTTACCAACTTGGGGGCTTCTTCCATGCCTTGCTCCTTGCTGGCGAATGTGGCCACCAAAAAACACATAGTTATCCAGGTTTAGGGTTTTCAGAGTCCCTGGCGCTGTGCCTGAGGCAGTGTGGACTTGGTCCAGAACCAGTCTAGCGTAGTTTCCATTCACTTCAAGAGACACGGCGTGCCATTGCCCATCATTGACTTGAATGCTTTGAACAGAGACAATGCCAGGGCCACTCCCACAGTCAAATTTGTATTGCAGTCTTCCATTATGAATCTACAATAAAAAAAAAATTTTGCTGTCCACATTAATCTCATAGAACCTTCAGTTAGTCTCTGACAAAAGTTCTATGTAGGAGAGGTACACTGGCAAATGACGGTGGAAAGAGCAAAGCCTTGCATGAAGCACTATAGAACAATAATCATCCGTTTCATGTACAAGTAATAAAATTGCGTCTTGAAAGACATTGTCAACTGCACATACAAAAAGCAACATGGATGTGACTGTTAACTAAACACAACCCTGCACACAAAGTTTACATCACGTAGTATCTTAAGTCATATACACAAAGAATCATGTATGTAATATCTCAAGTCAAAAACATTTGAAAAGCAAGGTGGGCATCATAATTGTGTCAAACATATAAACAAAAATTCTCCAAATTCTCCATAACACTGAGATGAATTAGCTAGGGTTTGAATGTTCACAGACATACATACCTTCAGTTTGTAAAAAACAGAAGTAAATCTCTATGATCCTGAAGAGCAAAAAAGAACTTCTCATCCCACGATATATAAAACTTGTATAGCTATAAACAAACTCTTAAATAATGGAATTCACTCATCTGGCTTGCTTGATGTGTTTTTAAAAGGGGACCATCAGAAAATAAAATTTGTAATTTTTAAAGTCTGCTATCATCTGAGGTACAAAAGTACATAAAGCAGCTAGGCACACTGACTTGTGTCTATAATCCCAGCACTCTGGGAGACTTCGGGCAGGAAGACTGCAGTGAGGCCAGCCTAGTCAACTTAGTAAGACTACTTCTCAAAGCAAAGAAAAAGGGTTAGAGATACAACTCAGTGTGAAGGTCACTATCCCCAGAACTGTTAAACACAAAACGAACAATCCCTGTGTAAACACATACCTCCAAGATACTGTAATCAGTTCCTCTAGCATACATTACAATTGCATGAGTAGAATAGGTTCTGAGCCTCATTGTCAATTTCATCTCTAATTTGTTTTCATTTTCCATTAGGCGGTATTTCACAAAGCTATTTCCAGTAAATGTTAAAGATGAACTTCCTGTGAATTACAAACAGAAAAAATTATGAGAGCAAAATTTAAGCAGATTTTTAAGGTATGCTTTCTCCCACTTTGAGGCTGAGGCTTTTTATTTAAGATTATAACATTATAAAATTAAATTTCTATGGGAAAATGTCTTTTTGCTTAATCAGTAGCACGGTGTAACTGATTCTCCATTTGGAGGAGAAAAATTATACTATCACAAATAAATTCTAAAATAATAAAAGAGCTAAATATAAAAATGTTCAATCTAGAATTACAAGATAATTTCAGAAAAAATAATTATATACCGTCAAAGAATTTTGGCAAACCTTCTTAAGCAAAATATAAAACAATTTCTGTTCTCCAAAGATGATGAAAATGACATAAACTTCCAGAGGTAAAAATTGAGTAAGTACAAAATATGTAGAATGGACTAAGTAAAATGTAATTTTCAAAATGCCAAAAGAAAAATTTAACAAATCAAAAATTAAACCAGACTGAGGGGAGACCGTAATAAAGAGAATTCTTGTAGTCATAACACACAAAGAGCCATACACATTGATTAACAACAACAACAAAAGGAGCCAAAACAATCAGTCAAGCCAGAGGAAATGCTATTAGGTAACAAATGAATGAAAAGATAACTTTCACAGGTACCAGACAATTAAATATAAAAATTATTAGATGTCATTTCATGCTCATTTGATGGAGGATTTTTTTTTTTTTTAACTCAAAAAACTCAGTATTGGCAACAGAATAGGGAATGAGACCTTCATACAAGACTGGATGAAATAAGAATTGATTCAACTTCATAGAAAACTAATGTAACAATATCTTTAAAAATTTTAAAAATTTTAAAGGTGCTCTTTTAGACCCTATTATAACAGAAGTGAAACATATTTTGATTTATGAAGAAACAATTAGGTCACTGAATTCTCACCTGGGCACTGACCGAACCTGCCCCCTGGACAGACACAGGTGTACTTCTCCTCCCTGGGGTCAGGGACACACTCTGTTCCTTCAGGGCATGGACTGTCTTCGCACCCATGGTGGACAGGTGGGCATTTCCCCTCTTTATTAAAAGAAAAGAGGGGAGGTGGTGATCAACATGAATTTTTAAGAAATTAATCTTTCGTGTATAGTCATTACAGGCTGTACAGCTTTTTCATATACTCACCTTTGCAGAGACACACGGCTGCTCGATAGTGGCGGGGAGTCACAAAACTCAGTCTAGCTGTGCTGTGCGTTGACATAGAATTTTCATCCACAGATACCTTTTCATCACAGAACTTCCAAGGGCAATCCAGGCCTGCACAGCGTTTCTGAAACACATCCAATATCCTCACACCAATGATGTCCTCAATATCAGTCACGGAAGAGTTAATTTTGTGTAGAAGTTGTTTTGTTGAAACCTGAGTACTACTTGATTTCTCCACAAAAAGTAAGACATCCAGATGTGGGTGAGGCTCAGAGGGCTGCAAACTAACGATCTGTATGTCATTCCTGCGCACACCCAGGATGTTCCGTAAAGCCCGCTGGAAGTTGCGCCAGTAGTCACCAACAAATTCTTCTGGAGTGAGGTTGGCAAAGCGAATGGCAATGGTGTGGTTGAGCATCTCTTGTGTTATCTGTCTGATATGCACTGTGATGTCAGCCACTGTTGTAAATTTTCCATCTGTTACGCTGACATTCAGAAGGTACTGCCCGATATCTAGCCTTTTGTGTGCAATCAGTTTACCCCCTGTGCTGGAAACAGAGAACAGGTTGTCCATTTGGGGATCGAGACTGTAAGTTAAAGTGTCATACACATCTTGGTCTGTTGCATGAATCTTCCCAATGACACCACCGGAATATTCCTCTCCAAAAGCAGTAATGAAAATCTCCAGTGGCAAAATTGCAGGAGGATGGATGCTTTCCTCGATCACCCTGATGTCAATGTGTGTCAACGATGACAACTGTGGTTTTCCATTATCTGCCACCTATGAGAAAAATCACAGTTGTCTGCATGTTTACCACTTCTTAATAAGTATACATTGTGAAAGTATATTTACTGTTCAACTTTTTAAAAATTTCCAATGCTTGATACCTATGTCTCCAGAAGCAAAAGGGAAACAGATAATTTGTAGGCCTTTTACCAGTTCAGATCGAAATTCAGACCCTGCCTATGATGAAGCAGACAGATGCATGGGCTCCATCAAAGTGAAATAGGACAAAAAGAAAGGTGTGGATAAAAACCAGAAATCATAACTACAAATTTTTGTTTTCTCATAAAACATAAAGCTGTTCAAATATAAAAAGAAACCACCCAGGAGCTCTTCTATGCATCTGCCAAAAACCATAAAGACAGATTTTAATACCTTCACGTGCAGCAAGTAGTGGTCCTTCACTTTCCTCTGTATGGCAGCGGAGGTCAGGAGGACGCCCTGCTGGTTCACCTCAAACACTCTGTCATCATTTCCACTCACGATAGAAAAGAAGAACGGTGGGCCGTTGTGAGAAGAGTCCTTGTCTGTCACGACAAGCTGCAGGACACTGAAACCCACTGGTTTGTTTTCCTGCACAAAATTAATAGAACAAAACAAAAATTTCTCAACATAACAAAATCTTCTGCATACGGTAAAAGAACGTCAGGGTTTTATTGTAACATAAAATGTAAAGAAAAAGAAGGCCAATTGCTGATTCACCTGAGAGAAACGAGAAGTACAGGAGAAGAGAAAGGAGGAACAGGGAAGATGGGGTGAAGGAGGAGGGAGCATGTGTGAGACAGGAGGATGTGGGGGAGGAGACATGCGATGGAGCAGAGCGTGGGTGGAGGAGGTGGAGGTGAAGAATGAGGAGGCAGAGGACCAGCAGGAGAGAGATCAAGGGCGAGCAGGAGGTGAAACTACAGTAGCACAAGGTAGGGCTATGCAAAACCTTCAGTCTTAGGACAGTGAGAATATCGAACAGCCAAAGAACAAAAAGAAACAAAACAAAATTTTGGGTACACCTTGAAAATGTTCTTTTAATATTGATGGAAACTAGTTATACTGTTCCTACTTCTCTAAAACACTATCATTAGAAAAGAAAGCTACTAAACAAACAAAAGAATTGAACTGAAGAGTTCAAAAGGATTGCATGAACCGTTTGGCACACGGGGCTTACCTGGATGATGACGCTGTAATTACCCTTGGAGAAGAGCGGGGCATTGTCATTGACATCAGACACATCAATGTTCACAGTTGTGGTGTTCACTCTGGGTGGACTGCCATTGTCAGAAGCTTGAATTGTGAGCGTGTAACCTGAAATCTTTGCAGGGAAAAGACCAAGAAAGCATGCTCATTCACACGAAGTCAATGAATTGGCACCCTCATTATTTGTTGTATCCAGTACCTACAATTCCCTAACCTACAAATGAGTCCATCGCAAATAGCACGTTTTCTCAAAAGAAAAAAAGATGTCAGTCAAAAACATACTCATCAATTGTTTTGTCTTTAATAACGTACAGTTCTATTAACAGAAATAAGAAGGAAGTAATACAAATTATTAGCAAAAAAGGTTAACACGCTGCTCAAAATGCTGTTGCAGCAGGAGAAAAAAAAAGCCTTCCCTGGCACTCAACTCTTGCTTTTGGCCTCACCTTTGAGAACTGACTCCCTTCTACACCCCAGGACCCCCCAGGTCATCTCCCTGCTCCATTTCACACTCCGACTGTCCTCACTTGTCTCAAACCTTTAAGATAATCTTTGTGACCCCTTATAAAAGAAACCAAGTCAAGCGAGGTTGCTTTCTCAAGTGAAGTTTCCTGTTAAACTTTCTCTTCAAAAATGAGCCAGTGGAAGAAGCCAGGAAGCTGGCTAACTCCCAGATGAGTCATTGGTTGAACATCAGCCCCACAAAGTGCTCCCACAAAAAAGGGCTGTGAGAGCAAATCTGCCTGGGAAACACCAAAGGCTACCACTTCCTGTGCTGACAATGAACACACATGTGTGAAAAGGCCTGGTGCTTCAGTTCAAAATAGTAAATTTTACTCTGCTAGTGGAACAGCAATACTACATATAACAGTAATGCTTCCTAAACTCTTAAAGACGATCCCTACAAAAAAATGACAGGTCAGAAAATAAAATGCAGAACTTGAATAAGCTATCACTGTCTCTCCAAGTTCCTCCAGTGTCGCACGTATCCATGTTTATTGAAACTACACCCTTTATCATCACTATGTCTTTCTAAATCCCAAAACTCTCCTGCTCCACTTCTCTTCACGTGCATGACAGTGAGTGGATACGGGGGTGGGCGGACAGTGGTGTAGTCTGACTTGCCTTAGAGATCACTTCTATAATCACTGCATCTACAACTGCTAATTTACGTCTCTAAATTAGACTGAAATGCCTAAATCAGTCACCAACTAGTACTTTCCTCATATGCTATTTCCCACTAAAACCCAACCCATCTGAAAGCACACTCGTAGCATCTACCAGTCCTGAGTTGACACCTCATGACTTCCTGTCCTCTCTATAATGGTGCTCACTGCCCAAGCACAGCAAGACTGATAGAAGTCATCTCTGACACCACTGCTGTCCTACACAGGGTCATACCCAAGCTTTGTGGATTCTAATTTTTCCTTTATTCATGTTCTTTTCACTGAATTCTTTCTGCTGCTGCTCTTACTGTAACAGATAAACAGCCAATGGCCCTTCTACTTCTCCTGGTCTCCAACTATTCTAAAATATGCTTGGAACTACTTAAGTAATAATATTCCAAAATGTCTCCTGATATATTTCTGTTCACAAGATTAAGCAATTTCCTCAGGCCTGTAGCATCAAGTGTGACTCTCCCATTCTGGTTCCGTGGCCTATAATTTGTTCCTACAATGCCTTTCATTTTATCTCTCTCTACTTCTCTGTATGATTAGTCTTCTAAATATAGTTTCGATTTGCATGCTGTGTTCATATAATTTCTTGCAGGAAATTTCTCCTTTGGATCTTAAAGGGTAGTCTGTTACTTAAAGCCTAGCTTTAAAATCTGGCCCCTAGTTCCAATAAGTGTCTCAGAATGTTGGCGCCAACTGCAATTTCTTCTCGAATACAAACTTCTATTATCAAACTTTGCTACAAGCACAAAAAATATTTCGTACACTCGTGAGACACGCAGACTGCAAATGCTTCTCAAGTATTTACCCCGTTTCTCAGTTTCTGAGAAAGCTGGTTCTACCCTTTTGGACACTTCACATCATGCCTAGTAGGTCTGAACACAAAGCACTTCTAGTTATTGATCTGGTAACTTGTAAACACTCTAAATCAAAGTTTTACACTTACTGTTTCCCGGTCCAGAAGCTTAGTCACTTTCACTTCTCCCTTGACAGGATCGATTGTAAATGGACCTCCTTGATTGCCTTCTATAATTGAGTAGTGGATGAGGCTATACAAAGGCCCATCGGCATCATCAGCCATAACCTAGAAAACAGCACACTCTTATTTAGCAGATAGCTAAGGGAGGGACTGAGGCTACTTTATGGCAGTTATTTATAATAAAATCACTAACTGGCCTAGCAAATGACATTTTCATATCTCTGTAATATTTTCAAATAAAGCCATTACAAAAATTACACTGATTTTACTAAAAACTCTTGCAAAAAATCCATAAGAAGTCTTGAGGGGGTTCACATACTGTTATGACAGACTGCTCGAGAACAGCATCTTCACTGATCACTGCTGTGTAGGTGTCTTGGCTGAAGGCTGGGGTGTTGTCATTGATATCTGTTACATTAATGTTCACAGTCACCACGTCACTTAAGGAAGGTGTGCCTCCATCCGTGGCTTCTACAGTCAGATAATATTCATGGGCACTCTCATAATCCAGATTCTCAATGATAAAAATGGCCCCTGAAAGACAATCAGAATTACTTTATAACGCTATAACTTTTTTGCTAGTAATACTGAAATATGTAACACTTTTTTTTAAAAAAATTACTTTTCACTTCAAAAGTTTATTTACCAATTACGTATATTCCCTAGTTCCTTCACTCAACAATTATAAATTATGGGTTCTTATTTCACTCTTAATTATTTTCCTGATATCCATTATAATATTCCAATCACTTCCCTAGTCAGTATTACCTATATTGCTGCTATAAATATAATTGGATCCATCTCTTCCTAACCGTAGTTCATAACAGATTTTAATAAACAAAATGGAATTTTACAATTCCTCAGTTCTGTGCCTTTTGATTCCTTCTTCCTTTTCATTCTATCTTATCCACATGCACATTCTATTTTTAAAAAAAAAACCTTTAAAGCAATCCTATATTTACATTCTATCATTAAAATTCCTTTTTAACAGTTCTCCTAACATCTTTCCTTGTCAGTTCATTACAGTTCATCCTACCTAACAAGAAAATGAGATAAAAGAACTCTAAAAATAACTATTTTATGGTATGTATTTTAAAAACCTTTTAAGATAGCATCATCACACACTTATTCTTTATCTAAAATAGTCGCATACAATTAAGCAATTAGAAAGGAACTTTTTAAACTAAGACTTGACAGCCATTTCAGTCACAGCTTAGCAAGATGACATCAGTATTTACGCAGCAAGAGTCAACAGTGCCTCTGACCTCTGACCTGCAGGCAGCCCCAACAGGATGCAAAGTTCTTCAACTGTTACATATAACAACCATAATAAATATGTCAACTTCATGAGTTATCAGATGCCCACTATAGAAAGTAAGATCTAAGAGGTTGAAATTATGGTTTTACTTGGAAAGCTACATTCTATGTTTCCGATATGGAGGATAAAAGGAGTTAACTGCACAGGGTCCTCTACTGTCTATCAGTCATTCTTATCTTTACTGACTTGGAACACTTTACATCACCGCTGAACTATTGGAATGTGATACTCTGGTTTTCTATTTTAAGTTAATGTGTTTACAGATTAGTGTCTATGCCAGAAATGTATTTTACCAAACAGAATTAGAGACTGTGATTTTCTAAAGCCACTTTTATTCTGATTTTAACCAACAAAAAACCCCTTAAGTTTCTTTTTAAGAGTATCTGCTCTTAATATGTGTCTATCACTTTGTATATGGTAAAGTGCCAGACAATCTAGCCTTTTTGGTGGAACACAGTGCTTCCTCGCTCTTTTAGGGTACATTACCTGTTTTAGCATCTATGCTGAATTTCCCGTGTTCATTTCCACTTATTATTGAGTAGGTGATTTCAGCATTTGCTTCGATATCCCGGCTTGCCGCGTAAAGCTGAAGAACTTCAGTTCCAATGAGGACGTCCTCAGACACTGTGGCCCCATATTCCCGGTATTCAAACACAGGGGGGTTGTCATTTATATCCAAAACTGACACTATGACAGTGCCAGTGGCTGACAACCTCCTTGGCAAACCTTGGTCTACAGCTTTCAAAGTAAGGGTATACACTGCCTGTTGTTCTCTATCCAAAGGCTTTTCTAACTGAATAATTCCAGATATGTCATTAATGGAGAACTGCCCGTTAGCAGAGTCAATCAGTGAGTAGGAAATTTTTCGATTCAATCCTGTTAAGACACAAAATCATGCCAGAAGATTTTATATTAAAAAACTTAAATTTTAAAAATTACAAAGTATTTTTTAAAAAGATAAAATGCTAATCACTTATTTTTGAATGCGATCTAAGCAAATTCTTTGAATTATCAATTTACTGAGTTTTTAAAGTACAACCGCATACATATCTGGTTTTTTAGGTTATTTTATATAGAAGTCTATGCTACAGTACCCCCTAGATTTTTAAAAATGAAATCTATTTAAGATTTAACTTTCATGACAGTTATTTGTAACGTAACCATTTTGATATTCTTGTAATTCTTCAGTAGTAATTTGAAGCCATCAAAATGCTATGAATATAACATATCTCAGTCTTAATTTCCCACAAAAATTTGGAAAGATTTGTGAAATTGCACATGTAGTATTTGTTCTTGTTATATATTCCTATGACACCAAAAACTTCTTTGTGGCACCAATGGTTTAGACACAGTAACACCTCACAAATTAATTCGATGATATATGAAACAAACTTGATAAAGTTACTAAGCAGGACTTTATTCATACTACAGATACCTGATACAGTGAGTTCACTGGATCTAATTTTGAGACTTCAAAGATTCATATAAAATGAATTACAAAACAATGACTAGCCACTTCATGTGTGGAAGACACTGGCTGCACTGCGGGGCACTGGGGCTGTGCTCCGGAACAGCAGCTAGTAAGTCTTCGCACAGGGCCGAAGAGTGTGCCCCAGAGGATACCTGTGTCAGCATCCGTGGCCTGCACTCGGGTCAGTAGCGTCCCAGGCTCTGTGTTCTCAAACACAGTGATGGTGTAGGGGTCAGCAGTGAACTCGGGGGCATTATCGTTCACATCTTCTAACGTGAGCACAATACTGGCTTGACAGAATCTGCCTCCTCCATCTGTGGCCTTGACCAGAAGGTTATAAACCGCTTGCTCCTCGCGATCGAGGGGCGCTAATGTTTTCAGTTCACCTAGAGTAAACAAAAAGTAACTGGACTCATTTGAAATTTAGGATGTGAACTACAAATGCACATCTTTCTCTTCCTTTTCTCTTACAATTCTTAGCCTTGGTGTGGAGAGCAAGTTAGTCTGTGACTCACCATCTTCAGGAGCACGGCAAACCCTGCTAGGGACCAGGTTTTCCAGTGTATCTGAGGCTCGGGCCTCTTACCTTACATGCATTACAAAAGGAAAACAGTGACCTAATTTATCTAATTTAAAACTTAAAATAAACTTATTCAAAAAATGCATCCACATATTTACAATTATTTCTTAAGGGGATAATAAAAAAAGTTTAATAAAAAGTTATTGTTTGACCTAATTTTAGCAAAATTACAAGAGAAAACACTTCTAAGAAATCAAGTATCATGGATTACTTTAATTATAGAAAAACATATTAGAAATTTATAATCATAAATTCAAAAAACATGCTATATAAATAAAACAGACCAAGCAAAAAGTCTGAGGTGTAAGTCAAAAAAAAAAAAAAAAAACTTTCTAAACTTTAGAGTTTGGTTCTCAACATTAAATCTTCAGTTCAAGGAAGTGATTTTGTATTGCCAGGTTTTTTTAATCTTACTCCCAAATGAGTGAGCAATTTAAAATTTACATATTAAATTGCTGATAAATGTCTAAAAGCTCATTTCATATCACAGTAAATTTGTACAGGACAAAATATCATTTCAAAATTCTCAAGTGATCTAAAATCACCAACATACAACATGATTTTGTTGGAATACACAATGAAAGGTATCCCCAACCCCACCATTACCTGTGTCTGGATTTAGTCTGAATTTCTCTGCACCTGAACCCAATAATGTATAGGTGATTTCAGCATTGGAACGGATGTCTGCATCTGTGGCAGAGACCTGCATAATCAGTTTACCAGGAAGGGCATCTTCAGGGATGGTATCCGAATACAGAGTCTGCAAAGATTTGAAACAACACTGTTAACAATAAAATCATTAAAAGTCAGCAGTGGCTGTTGAGGAAATAAAAGACCTCATTTTAACTATAGAAAACATAGAAAATAATTGAAATTAAGCTTCAAAGAGCATGACCTCACAAAACAAACCTAAAACAAAAAGGAGCCTTCTAAGTTATCAGCTTTACCCCCGAGTTTGATTGATATTTAACCAACAAAGTACTACATATTTTGTATTGAGTCAATTTCATATCTAGTTTACATGCTTGTAAGAAAGTCACTAATATTCTATATTCACCTAAAAATTAGAAACTATACCCTGGTTGTTTATGTCCATCTACAGGAATTTCTTGTATGCAACTGTCCGTAACGTATGACCAGAACTGCAGTTGTGAGACACGATCCTTGTTACAGGAGAAAACAAAGATTTCTCCAAGGCCACAGAGCAGGCAGCAAGGCTCGGGTCCCTCTAAGCTCCCTCCTGTCTAACCCTCTCTCCACATTTGGGCTGAACTTTAAACATAATGCCCCCATTATTACGGAATCTGTGCCATAAAAGGAAAGAGGAGAAACAGGCGAAGACTACTACACTTACTTTCTTAACATGACTTGATGATCGGTGAGATGTATTTTATCAAACAGGGTATTTTATGGTCTTGTGTCTGACTTTATTACCAAAAATGATAACGTAATATGAGGCTGACCAAAATATATAGTGATGCTTACATTTTAAAAAAAAATTTATTACAGTAAAAGACACATTGCCATTAATTCTCCTCCAAGTGCTCCCTGCAAAGCTTTGAACACACCTATCCCCACTGATCTTGTCACTTTCAGAAGTTGTTCTAGAGCTTTGTTTTCATGATCAAAAATATGGTGAATGCTCCCATTTAGTGCCTTATAATGGAAAGGTAGGCTCATAACGACAGGACCACTTATCCTCATTGATCTATTCACCGGATCTGGCACCATGAAACTTCTGGCTCTTTGCCAAAATCAAAATGACCATGCAAGGTAAAACACTTCACATAAGTTCAGAGCAGCCAGGCAGCCACAACAGTGTACTAAAAGCATTCACGCAAGGGCTTCTAAAACTGCTTTAGGGTAGCAAGAACCCCTGTGTATTCTGAGGGAGATTAATGATAATGTGCCTTTACTGTAATTAATTATTTTTAAAAATTTAAGTGTTCACTGTATTTGTCACTTATGCCTCACACACTCAGATAATATCAGAGTGCTAGAAAACAAAAATGTACACATCTAGTTTCTTAAAGGAGATAATATACACAGGCCCACCCCACCAAGTACTTACTGTCACCAAAAAACATGTACTTATTGACTGGAATGAACTCCTATTTCCCCCTCAAGACTAAATGTAAGTGTCCATTTACCGGGAAGTAGGTGTGCTACTCTCCGCAGACCCTACACATGTGCTTTCACTGGACGGGCAGTATTTTCATCTGCCCTGTGCACCTTTAAACTCACTCACCCTCGGCCAACCTTCTGCCACCTAACATCCTCTCCTCCCTTCCTTTACTCTCAGTCCTCCTCACCGGCCAAACCTGTCCCCTAACACTCACTGCCATCTGCAGCCGGCGGCCCTCATTAGGATTCCCAAGGCTGCCATCCCCGGTCAGTCACGGAATTCAGAAGGTCCGCTTCACACCCTGACCAAATCCTTTAGCTAGGTCACACCTCTGCTTGCCACTGTGCCACTTAACAATTCCATCTGTCATCCTCGACAGTACTGCCCTGGCAACCTTCTGCTTCCTTCTTTCTTTGGCAATACCTGCCTTCATTTTTTCCCTTTTTGTTGGTATCCTTCTCTCAAATGAATTCAGCTGTCGGCTATCTACAGAAACCGCCCAGTTCACATCTCACTAATCTCAGCATCTCTAAGTGTTTACAAAACACCATCTACTGAATGCCTCTTTCCCTTAAATTTCACAGACTCTCCATGCTTACTCTCTAACCAATTCCCATTCTGGGTTACCTTTGTCACTGCTTTGATCTTTCTCCTTCCATTCCTGGCAAATTTAGGTCCTGACTCAACATGCGTGCCACACTGTCACTTCCAGACTGGGGTGGGATGCTATCACCTTTTTCTGGTCAGTATCTTTGGTCCTTTCCTGTCATCTCTACCTGTTCTATTACCCCATTATTTCTTCTTTTCCATATCCAAATAATGGGCTTCACTTAATCAAAGTTAACTTCTCTAAGGAACGTGAGTCACATCATCTCTTTATCTTTCAACTATAGAAGAATTCACAATCCATGCTTATTTTCTAGTGTAGAGTTCTAACTCCCTAGAATGGCCTTCACATCCCTCTACAACCCACCACACGCTCTTCTTTCCCAGGACTCAGGACCTTCCCTAGTTCTGGCAAACTAAGTTACTAGCTTCACACTTCCCATCATGCTTGTACCCCAGGACCTTCCCACCTCTACTCCCGGAGGGCAAATCACTACTTTCTAGCGGCAGGCCTCCGCTTTGCCTCTGAACAGTGTGCCCTCTTCTTCAGCTCCAGGTACCACTCCTGCCCAGCTGCACTATTCTCATCTGAGCCTGGAGCGACTCAGCTCTTGTCTAGCTGTTATTTTATCCACTCATAAAATGTGAACTCTACAGGTACAAGAGCTGTTTCACTACGTTCTCAGTTTCTCTGGTGTATAGAGAACAAAATCATCTGGTAAAGCAAAAACAGAGCTTTACAGAAGACCTGCTGGCCAGATGTTTCCCCCAAATAATCTTACTCCCAAATGAAGAAAATCCCTTCCTGAGAAGTTTACAGAGCATTTTAGAGTTAAATGACTGTAATCCGATAATGCTGGGTTTTTAAAATGAAGTTTTTGATCCATTTACAATCCCCAAAATAATTCTAAAGTCTTTCCAAGTCATGTCCCATTTAACAATCACCTCTGCATAAAAGTGACTATAATAGAAAACACATTTGAATTATAACAGTATTATATAGCGGAGAGTAACTCCTACTGAAAGGATGAAAACAATTTAAATTCATACTATACACGCATGTGGACACTACAGCCTACCTTTTCACAAACTGGACTGTTGTCATTTGCATCGAGGACTTTCACTTCAACTATAGCTTTTGATGAAAAGGTCCCATCAGTTGCTGTGATAGTCAGAAGGTAACTGTCCTTCTTTTCTCTGTCTAGAGGTTTCTTCACATAGACTTTCCATTCATTCTGTATATTTTCAACAGCAAACTGTCCCAAAGCATCACCTCCTAGCAGATTGATAGAAGATGTCGAAGTGTTGAATTCAACAAGTAACAGAAAAAGTAAACGGTATAAAGATGGACGTTATATAAAAAAGATTAAAAATAAACTTCATTATGAATTTTTCTATTTACAAAAAAAGCAGCATTAAACTGTAAATTTAAATGTGATTAAGCCAAGTATAAGGCTGCTAAATCAGTAATCCAGGCTTCTTTGAAGCTTGTTACTTCCTTAGAACTGTATTTACCATGCATTAAGTATAAAGTTCAATAAAAATGAATCATAAAAGTCAAAAACACTAATAAAATTGTTAGCTTTGAAGAACTTGCAGTGTAGCTTAAACAGATACAAATTCTACTTATTTTAGATATTAACTAAAATCTTCCCTTTAATCTCCAATTTCCATGAAATACACAGCAAATGTGTTTTTAATACAATTCAGTTCTATACCATTTGAAGTTTACCTGTTATGAAATATGTAACTTGTCTGTTGATCTCTTCGGAATCAGCATCGGTGGTACTCAAGATGGCAATGACACCACCTGGTGGATCATCCTCACTCACCGTCCCTTTATAGATCTCGGCTGTGAACCGTGGTGGGCTATCATTAACATCAGTGACAGTGACATCCACCACAGCTGTGGAAGAGAGCTGAACCTTTTCGCCATGATCTGATGCAACCACTTTAATCTGGTAATTGTCTCGTTCTTCGTGGTCAAGTTCCTTTAGAGTTGTAATCCAGCCTGTTTCCGCATTAATTGCAAAAGATTCGATGATGTCTACACTTTGTGACTGATCTAAACTATACATCACATGGCCATTCAGTCCTGAATCGAGGTCAGATGCCCTGATTTGGATGACTCTACTTCCCCCTGGAAGGTTTTCAACAATAAATGCCTCATATGGATTGGATTCCAAGACAGGGCTGTTATCATTTGCATCTTTCACTTGGATACTAACATCTACAGAAGCCACCACCTCATAGTCATCCTGAGTGCACCTAGCAAGGATGGAAAACTGGTACCACTTAGTTGTCTCATGATCGAGACTCTTCTCTAGCTTTAGTCTTCCACTCTGCCTGTCGATAACAAAGAACTCATCTCTATTACTTTCAGGAGTATTCCCTTTGGTCAGACTGTAAAGAACAGTCCCACTATGTTCTGCTCTGATGAGATCTATCTCTGTTCCAATAGGCATGTCTTCTGAAACTGTATATGTATAAAATGGCTCTGAGAATTTTGGAAGATGTCTCTCTGGTGGAAGTATTTTAACATAGACAGGAACAACAGATTCTTTTGGTGGAGACCCATTATCTACAGCTCTAACAAAGAAAGTGAAAAACTCATTTTCCAAGCCAATTAAGCTTTCCTTTGTAGTAATTACCCCAGTCAGTTTATTAATTTCCAAATTCTCCTTAACACTTTCGGAATCTGCTTCAATGGCATAAATGACATCGGCATTGGACCCCTCATCAGCATCGCTTGCAAAGACTTTAATAACTGATGTTCCTTTGGCAGCATTGGATCCGATGTTCACTTCATACTTGGTTGCTCGGAACTGTGGAGCATTATCATTGTCATCCGTAAGGATGACATTAATGGTGCAGAAAGCAACCTTTCCTCCAGCATCCTTAGCCATTAAGCGAATTGAGATTACTTTCTCTGCAGGGGTCTCTCGGTCAAGTTTTTCCAAAGTAAATATTTGTCCCCTCTCATTTGGGTAAAATCTGTCTTTGGCAAAGTCATTTACAATATTGTAAGTAATGTGACCATAAATACCAGAATCTCTGTCAGTTGCCTTAACCTCAATCACCAGGGTGTGTACAGGAGCATTTTCAGCTAGTTCCACTTCATACTCATTCTGAGGGAAAACAGGACTGTGCAAATTGCCTCCAATTACAACCACATGAACCTGAGCTGAACTTCTAAAAACTCCATCAGAAACCGAAATGTTAAGACTGTAAAATGGCTTCAAGGTGTGCCGGCGCAGATTGGAGAGTGTGATAATTCCTGTTTCACTGTCAATGACAAAATTTTTATGATCATTGCCAGACAGAATGGAATATTCCAGCCTGTCAATATCGGAACTGTCTGCATCATAGGCTTTTACACACGTCACAAAATGCCCATGAATCGCATGCTCGCTAATTTTAGCTTCATAAATTTGCTGGTCAAAGAGTGGTGGATTATCATTGAGGTCAGTGACATCTACTGTGACAATCACATCACTGCTAAGTGGGGGCATGCCACCATCAATAGCTCTGACAAAAATCTTGTGTTGCTGGAATTGTTCATAATCCAAGGTTCTAAGCAGTGAAATGAGACCAGTGGTGCTATCTATGTGAAAATGATCATGACTCTTGCTATGGTTTCCAAACATCTGGTATGAAATTCCTCTATTTGGTTCTGAATCAGAATCTGTTGCTCTAACTTGAACCACAGATGTTCCAATTACAGATGCCTCAGACAGGGTTGCACTGTAAGACTGCTGTACAAACACAGGAGGGTTATCATTGATGTCTTCCACTATTATATCAACAAATACTTCAGCATGAGCACCAGTCAAAGAGTCAGTTGCTCGTATGCTCAATTTATATGCTGGATGGGACTCAAAATCCAGAGGAGCTATGACATTTATAACTCCAGTATTAAAGTTAATAGTAAACTGGCTGAAAGGGTCTCCGTCTGTGATGCTATAGAACACTTTCAATCCTTCTGGACTGTTGGCTTGTATGTGAACAACTGGGCTGTGCACCTGGATATTCTCTGGAATCTCTGCACTGTAGAAAGGTTTTTCAAACACCGGCATGGCTTTATTCATAACAGTAATTGGAACTATGACTTCAGCTGAAAAAGCTGGGTTTCCTCCATCTTTTGCAACCACTGTAACAAGATATTCTTTATTTAAAGTGTCCAGTTCAAATTGCTTTTTCAGTGAAATTTCACCTGCGGGTCCAATTTGGAAGTGGTCGTGATGCTCCTTAAGGTAGTAGTGTACTTCCCCGTTTCTGCCACTATCTCTGTCTACAGCAGTAACGTAGCGAATGACATGGCCCACCTCGGTATCCACCTTAACAACAGCATAGTAGGGAAGGTTGATGAACACTGGCGCATTATCATTCTGGTCTTCCACAGTTACTTTCACAACCACATGGGCCACTGCTGAAGGCTTATGCTCTCCCGTCACTTCTACCACCACGTCAAATGCCTCCTGCTGCTCTCGATCAAATGGGACACCAGTGGTTGACAGCACTCCTGACGTGCGGCTGATTTTAAACCTGCGATCTGGGTTGAGGATGTGATAAAATAAAGGCTCGTTGATGGGATTCCCAACAGCAGTAATGACAGCTAATGTTGTAGCTTCGGTAGAGTTCTCTTTTACCACTGCAGAGTAAAAATCCTGGGTGAATTTCAGTTGACTCTCTTTGCTTTCTTTCACATTAATTTTCACAGAAGTGAAGCTGGCAAATCTGCCATCAGAAGCTCGAATGGTTAACTCATAGCGGCTTCTTAACTGAGTGGTGTTTTGTATGGTTATAGTGCCAGTCTTGTAGTCCATAAAGAACTTCTCCCCGATGTTACCTTCGGTGATGGAGTACATCAACTGTGAAAATGCACTGGAATCAGCATCTGTAGCATTTACTGTGATAACTTTCACTCCTTTGTATGTTGGCAACAAAAGAGATGCTTCATACAATGATTTGGAGAACACAGGAGGGCAATCATTAATGTCAATTACATGTATAGTCACATTAGCTGCATATTCAGCAAATAAACGTGGTGTCCCCATGTCGTGTACCTGGACAGTGAAGTGAAAAACACTTGTTTCTTCATAGTCCAAACTCAGTACTGTATGAATAGCACCAGTGCTAGAATCAATAGCAAAGTATTTGTGCACAGATGGTTCCACAATGTGATAAACAAGCAAAGCATTTGATTCTTTATCAGCATCAGTTGCCCGAATCACTAGAGGGACATTCCTGTCTGTCAGGACCACGCTATTAATTGAAGCTGATTCACTAATGAGTCCTGAATATTCCGCCTGCATAAAAACTGGTACATTGTCATTCTCATCCTGTAGATGTACTAGCATAGTGGTATTAGTGGACAGACCGGCCATGTTGGTTCCTTGTATTATCAATGTATAAATGGGCAGAGTTTCAAAATCCAGGGCTTTCTGAGTGATGACAGTTCCAGAATGTGGATTAATATCAAAAGCATCCCCTATGTTCCCATCTTTTATTTCATACACAACTGACGACTGACTATAGGCTGTAACTATGCCAACAAAACTCCCAATGCTGATGGTTTCACTGATTTCAATGGAGTATTCTCTTGAAGTAAACTTAGGAGAGGCATTGTCAGCAATTGTGACAAAGATATGTACAGAAGTCATTTCACTCATCGGTGGATTGCCTTTATCTGCAGCTTTTACCATTAAATCATATTCCTCTTGATGACTTCGATCCAATTCTTTGGCAGTTTTTATAGAGCCCAAGATGGGATCAATTGTGAAAGAATTTCCAATGTTTCCTGGAAGGAGAGGAAAAAAATAAATGTGAAAGGGAAAATAAGAAGCAATGGACTTAGCAGCTGAAGAGACAAAAACAAAGGTTTCTCTACAAATTATCTTCAGAGTTAAGCAGAAATGTGGGAGATATCAACATTTGAATGGGACTTTTGACTTGGTTCATTTTTATCCAACTGAAACAAGGCATGTTTTTCAGAATTTTGGCCGTAAGTTCTGAAAAGCAAGAAACAGAAAAAATGTCACTCTCTGACTAGAAAAGTGTTGTGGACAGTTGTACATCCATAAAGCTGTTAATAATTTCCTAACAACCCCTCAAACTCCTTCCAAAATGTTTTTATGTGGTTCCAGGGCAATTTTGCTTCCACCAAGATGTCTGGGGACACTTGTGGTTGGAATAGCGTGGAGGGGAAGTCGTGCTAGTGGCCATCTTGTGGGAAGAGAACAGGAAGGCTGCTGAACAGCCAACAATGCACAGCATGAGCCTCGGCTGTGAGAAGTTATCTGGCCAAAATATCAATAGGGCTGAGGCTGAGAAGCCAACTACCAGGACAGATCTGTTTCCTTGGTTTTCTTTTAACGTTTTCAGACCCAAATATATAATACCCCATAGTTTTGCATCCTTTGAAGAAATCAGAAGGTTTCTGTAGTCTTTCTGGCTAGGATCAAGGCAGCATAATGGTACTGAATCTGAATCCATCCATGAGCCCTCGACTCCTTTCTCCTTTATAAACAAGAACCCAGAATGCAGTATCCTATCACAGTACTGAATGTATTTTCCACTCACTCAAAACAAGCTCCACTTGCCACTAACTGCCTTCTCGAGTTCTTATTCTTCTAACTTCTTCGCAGTTAATATGGCATTTCACAGACCAAAACCACTTAGTGTGATCTGCAAACTAGAAAGTAACCAAGCACTTTTGTCTACGTCATTTACAGTCAACACTTCCGATACGGTCTTCATTTCCTCCCTTTAATACATTTTCCAAAACTCCATGACAATTTTTTCTGAAGCCAGACCCAGCCTGGTTTTCATTAAGTCTGCCTGGCTCTGTGTCCAGGCCCCAAGGCAGAGCCTCAGTCTGCAACAGGGAGGAGGCCCACTCTTCAAGGGCCTCAACCCTGGCCCAAGAACAGGGTCCTGCTGCCTCTGCCAGGTTGCTCAGACACTAATTTCCGGCTTGTCTGTGTTTAGCAAAAGTTCTCTTTCAATGCATTTGAGTTATCAGAGCTCAAAAACCCTTTTTGCATCCTACCTGTGCATCACCCTCACTCTCCAAAATTGCAACAGCTTATGTGGCTTGAGGGAGAGAACACGGTAACCTTTGGCAGCTGTCTTTGGCCCCATCTCTCAGGCTTTCCTGTATCTGTACTTGAAAAGCAACTAACACTGCCAACTTTATTGTCATTTATCTGTATGTATTTGTCTTATTTTCTACAGTGAAATCTTACTTTGCCAGTAAAGTTTCAAATATACAAGGCCTCAAAGTGAAGAAACAAACTTTCTTTTTCTTAGTGATGACGCAGGTTTCCAGGGTCACAATGCACTGCTTTCTGCAAAACTTGCTGCTGGCCTCCAGTCACACTGCCATCCGCCTTGCTCCTCCACCCAAAGCACACTGTCTCCATCGCAGGACCTGTGCTTTTGGTGTGTTTTCTCCTGGAACAGCCCTGCCCAGGTGTTCTGAATACCTGACAGCCCTGCTGACAGTGTCATGGTAAGTCGTTCCCTGACCTCCCTATTCAATGTGGCTGTTTCTACTTTACCCTTGTTTTTCTTTGCTACTATGTCTAACAACCTTGTTCTTTATCTACCCAATGTGAAATTTAGAAACATTCTTTATCATTTGGGATGTCCCCACTGAAACAGCAGGCCCTGAGCTTTTCACTGATATGAAGAAGGTTACACAGAAACCCTAAAGCAAAAAGAATTAAGATTCATATAGGAGAAAGCAACAACGTCACGTTGTCATGATGGCTACTGACTGGCATAAATGTGTCTCTGCTAGTAAGAACACTCATTCACCAAGCACTGAGAAAAACAGGCATAATATCTCTGAATGAATTAACAACGCCATACATCAGAAAGTTTATTCTAGGATGGGGGCTTATTCTTCTAACTTTAGCTGAATTACGATGACTTCAAATTGTCCACTGTATTTAAACAGGGAAATTGGACAAACGAGCCAGTTTTTGTTCCTAATCTACTGTCTGTCTCTCACCAATAGGGCACATAAAGGAGATGTGTAGGCCAAGTCTATTTCTTCCCATGGCTGACAAGCTGCTAATGACTGGGTTGCAATCTCTCCCACATTTGAACTCTTAACTACATTTAACCTGTTTAGGGAGGAAAATCAACTCTAATCAATACATACACTTAGTGAATGTCTTGTGTCTACAGGCTTTACAATAGTTGTGAAGGAGAATCCAAATAATCTCCTTTTTTAAAGTAACAAGAGAAGAAAACACCGCACAGCATATGGGTCTAAAGTCTACACATAACTTCAAATGCTACTGAAAATATCTTTTAATTAAATTACTTTTTTCCCTAAACACTCCTAATCAGACCATATCTTTTGCTCAATAAATTGTTAATTAAACATGCAAGGTAATGGGTGGAATTTATAACTCATCTTTTGAACTTTATTAAATATAATCTGACACAAATTAGAAGCGGCTAATTACGAATAAACTGTTAAATGAAATGTAATTATGAATATTTACAGTTTATAGTATTTCAACAGATATACATAACACACATCAACTACATTTTAACAGCAGTGGTTTCTTATAAAGTAACTGTTTACTATAGTTCTATAACATCAAAAACATCTTTAAAAAATCTTACAAGTCCCAATTTCATATTAAAGAGTCCAATGGTTCTATCTATTCTTTGAAGAGAGATAGAATTCCATTCTTAGAATACCAAATTACTAATCCCATCAGTCATTAAAAGTATTCAAAGAATGCACATGCCTTTTCGCAGACACCAACAATCATATTTTAACCACCCAGTTGTTGAAAATTATGTGAAAGCTAAGGGAAAGTTTAACATTTTCTCCTACATAAATGCAGTCAGTTTGTCTATGACAAAATTACTTATTGAAATGCTCAAGCATGCACAAAAGGAATGCACTGTTTTTCTAACTATTAAATGCCTGAGGCAATGGAAAACCACTTCATCTTTATTCAAAGCACTAACTATACTACAATGCATTTTAACACTGTAATCACAATGCAGTAAATAAATGCTATTTGTGAGTAATAAACTATTTGGTTGTTTTAAGGGAAACAAATGAAATTTCAAATTTATAAAAAAATAAAAAGTTTAGCCACACAAAGTAAAATTACTCTCCACGTACTCAGATTTTTGTTATATGATATATAGATAATCTAGGCCTCTTGATTATAAAATCTAGGAGAGATCACTTCTAAACAGGTTGAACTCTGGAATTAAGCCAAATATAGACAATTGCAATTTCCTAGGATCTTTACAAACACAGAAGAGTGAAAGGGACCATATTTTTCATACTAAAAATGGCACTGAGTAAAGTGGGAAACTCAACTGTCTTTTCAGCATTATGATCATCATTTACTCATACTATTTTGCATGAGTAGGAAAAATCTGAAAGCAGTGTAATTTCTAACTGAATAATCATATACTCTAAAGCCAAATTCCTGCCAGCACACACACCTGTGGACTAATGGTAACCCTATCAAACACAAGTATGAATGCCTTTTGCATGCCGTATAAAATGAGCTTCATTAGTCCATACAATGAATACAAGAATGAGAGGCCTCAGTATAAAACAGAACAGAGAATAAAGAACACTTCACATGGTGCTGGGGATTTAACTCTGCAGTGTAAGCACCCGCCTGGTGAGCGCACCCAAGGAAAAAAAAAGTCTTTAAATATTACGTGAAGTAAAAGATGAATTTAAAAAAAAAAGAAACACGCTGCTGCCGTGACCACTTCTTGACGCGCCTCCTTGCTATCACTAGCAGGACCCTGGATTTCCTGCTGCTGTATCTATCCAGGATTGCCCAGGCCCAGCTCCAGGAGGCCTCCCTGCCCCTTTTGCCCCAAGGCCATATATAACAGGCTCTTCAACCTTTTGTTCTAGTTCCAGACCTACTCTGTGACCTACTGCAATAACCCAACTCCATGCATGAAGCTCAACTTCAACTCCATGCATGAAGCTCAACTTTTAAAACTAGGAGTAAAAGCCGGGGCAGAGGTGTCCAAGAAGCAAGATATTTTCTTTTTTTTTGAGAACTAATCCCAAGAAGAACTGGATAAATCAGCATTCCATCAAAAAAATTCCATGCTCTATCCAAGAGAAAATATTCTCTGATAAAAAGTAAAATGTTCAATTACTAGGCCAGGACTTTCCTAAGTATTTCACAGCTAACCAATAGCTCATAGGAGAATAGCTGTGGTTAATGTAATTTCAGAAATAGTAAATTGGTCAAATAAAAAATTATCTTTCTGCAGGATTTCTCTGAAGTCTTCCACTATGCTAGTATTATGAATCTCACAAATTCCGGGTACCCAAATTAACCAGGACCCTATCTTTCCTCTCTAATGGGTTAAAATTTAATTTTAAAAATACTTCCTCTTTTTACAAGCATGCAAAATGATAAAGATCTCCAGCAATTTTTGCAGCAATATACAGAAATGTTAAAAACAGAACTTTAGAAATACATTGTAACATACACAAAATTAAAACTTGAAAACTCCAAAAATACCTGATTCAATTGAGTATACCACTTCAGCATTTTTCCCCTTGTCTTTGTCCAGAGCTGTAACCTGCAACACAACTGAGCCAACAGCTGCTGATTCATAAACCCGCCCTTCGTAAGAGGAACTGGTGAACCACGGGGCATGGTCATTCGTGTCACTGACATTAACAATAATCCTTGCAAAGTTGCGTTTTACAGGAACATCCTGATCCCGCACCTAGAAGAATCATTCAACACATTAGTAGCCTTCTGAGATTTTCTTTCTTATGGATTAAAAATCACCGTTATTCTCACACACATAAAACTTTTCAAGAACCACATGGGCAGAAGAATGAACAGACGTACCATGACCGTAAGAATGTGCTGGTGAACAGCTTCATGATCCAGTTTCTCACAAGTAGAAAGGGAGCCAGTGGCAGGATCCAGACGAAATTTCTTGAGACTCAGTGGGTCTATACTACTCTGCAGGGTATAGATTAGCTTGTTTTTCTCGTCCTTATCCACAGCCCTGATTTGCAAAATTTCTGTTTCTGGCGCTGTATCTTCAGGAATAACGACTTCGTATTTTGAAGTAGAAAACTGAGGACGGTGGTCATTTGTATCTATTACTTTGATAAGGACCTGTAATAAAAGACAAAATGGCCCACATAATAATATTCCTACTTGTAGTTTTAATATTTAAAGTGTCAAACTCTGGTGTTTTAAAAAAAGGAAATACAAACATGAGAAATAAAAGCAAATATTCAGAATTTTTCAATTTTTCATTGATATATTACTTATTTAAAATATAAGACAGGTAGTGAAGACCTTTCTAAATTCTTAATACTGACTTTGGAGATGTAAAACAGTGCACACTTTATTTAAGGTGGCTTAGGTCTCCACATAGGTGACACTGTAGTAGATTACTCATGGACAGAAAACAGAATTTAATTTGCCAGAACTTATGGAAGACACATTCCCTAAATTAGATGTGAATCTGTAACTACTAATTTACTGATGCAAATGAGACACATGATTATGCTATTTAAATTTCTCATGCTAAGACTCCAAGATTGAGTTAAAAAGAAAAATCAGAAATGTTTTTAGGACTCTAAATGTAGCTCAGTGGTAGAGTACTTTGCTAGCCTGTGTGTTGCCTTGGGTTTAATCCCTGCCACCCACCCACACACACAGAAAGCTTTTAGATCTTTTTTGTGATGTCAAAATCTACATATATATATAGTAAATGTTTATTTCCTAAAAACAATTATATACGCTGAATAGATAAACCCTCTTAAATATTTATATCTAAAAGGCAAAAGTTTTTTAAAAATTCAGTCTTAAGCTAAATTTATAAACAACAAAACCATTTACTTTGACTGTAAGAGGATTCATTTTCACAATGAAAAGATGTACTTTATATGGATAAACCATAGCAGAAATCAGTACCAATCATAAATGATGGTGATCAGTTTACAAAATGACCTTTGCTGGATCCTAAAGATGTAAGTATTAGTTAATTCCAGTGGTACAGGCGGCCTAAGTCCTAGCCTGGTGCCAGAGCACAGGGAGAGAGGCCTTTGCATTAGTACCTATGATCTACCAGAATACTACGCCACAATGACAGACCTTTGGCACTGAATTCTATAAATACTAAATTCATTTACCAAATCACAAAAAGGTTTTTATTGTAAGTAAAAATTTAAAAAACTATAAATGTCTCACTCTTAAAGATCATATATGGTTGAGAAGGTTATAACCTGTGAAGGAAATTCCTAACAATTCAATCATGACATTCTCACTCCCATTATAAATTTAAAACTTGTGTCATAGAGCAGGCATCGGACTGAGAGGCTTTATGCTGATCAAAGATCATCAACTAATCACTATTAGTAAGAGTAGAAAGTTTAAAAACTGAGTTTTGCTTAGGCAACACAAAGGAAACATTTATTGGCCACTTAGGTGCTTGGCTTTTGCCTACGCAAGAGTAAAGGTATGAAACAAGTGTACACAGCAACCCAGGCCCTCATGAAACCTTTAACCTCACTAGGCAAAGTCTATTTACGCCTTATATATTTTCAAGGAAGTTGTTAAGAATCTAGAGATTGGACATTCTGAAGAAGGAGGTAACACCATACTGCATGGGTCTTTGGTGACCTTGTCTTGAGAAGGGTTTGGTCAAAGATGCGAAAGGCTGTAGTGAGACAGAACACCCCACCTTTTAGACACAGGAGAGGACTGAGCGAAGGAAGATGGGATCTCTGGCTGAGGCTGGAAAACTGCATGTCCTAAGTGCTCTGAACCTTCTGACAGAGGAAAGCCACCTTTACCTCTTGCTCTCAGTCAGGTGGACCTCTCCAGTAGCAGGCAGCAGGAGATGAATTACAGAGCCAGAGAATGGAGGCGGGAAGTAGAGTGCTGGGGGCAAATCAGGAGCCCACAGCAGTCTTATAATCAACAGCTACTGCTGAGTATGCAGTAGGTGATAGGTTCTAGTAGCTTTAAGGTCAAGCACTCTGTATCATCTCACTTAACCCTCATAAAAATATTAATATTATCCCCACTTTCCAGATGACCAAATGGAAGTTTAAAGTGTCTAAGCTTATCCCTGGACAGGAGCAAGAAGACGACAGTCTATGTAACCATCAGCATATGAAAGGATAAAGAAAAATGTGATATATTCACATAGTGAAGCATCATGCAGTAATTAAAATAAAAAACACAAACATTTTTTATTTGCATAAAATGGAAGGATCTAGAGATCATCACGTTGACGAAATACACCAGACTCAGAAAGACAAATACTGCATGTTCTTCACAATATGTAGAATCTAAATATAGTGACAATAAAGTAGAAGGGGTACTATTATCATGAGGAAGGGACAAAGGGGGTACAGGGTGTAAGAGCAGACAGCAGATAGCAGAGTATGATCAAATCACAACAGTGAATGCATCAAACATCCCCTAAAAAATGTGAAACTGGGTGGAGCGCATGGGGCAAGGGTGGCGATGAGGAAGAAGGTGCTTAAAGTATGTTATGTGTATGTACACATCTGCCAGAACGAAACTCATTAATCTATATAACCAACATGTATGAATAAAAACATGAACAGAAAAAGAGGAAGAGACAAGATTCACACTAAGTTTTCTGCTGCAGAATGTGCAATTCATGCTCAATACAGAATAAAAGAAAACATGAAAGCGAAGATGTTTCAAAGAGATGTTAACTGGATCTGGGAAGTTACCTAGGGATGTAACTAACATAAAGTGACCTGAGTTAGGGCTTGACAGGCATCTGAAGCAAAAGCTGCAGGTCAGGGAGAGGCACTGCTGCGGCAGAGCCCTGGCATTCCCTTGTCACTCTCTCCGAGCCACTCTGCTGCAGATGTGCCCCGTGCTTTTGCAACCCACAATGGTCTCCTAACCCTCAATCTGCCATCTGCTGCTATCGGCCTGGATGTACAAAACCTGCTCTGTTGCTCCTTAAGTTTTACCTACAAACCTGAATCTCCCTAGCTTGCTCCAGGTACCTATCTGCACAGTTCATATTTCTGTGTTCCTCTTCGTCTGCTATCTGTTCTTCTGCTTTCACTGAGATTTGTATCTCCCTGTTCTCAGACTCAGACTAGAAACCTAACCCTAATTATGATTGTTCCCTTTGTCTCATACCAGTGACAGGTCAGCCTGGGCTCAAGAACCACTCTCTTATGTTCTGACTTCCCTGCTGGCAATTCATCAGGTTATTAGCAAGGCCCTCTTAAAATGACTCAAAGTAAGCTACTCAGGTATAAATAAAGAATTGAAAACTGAGGCAAAAAGAAATCTAGAAAGTATTTCCTGGGTTTTACAGAAATTTTAGTTGCTATTCAAATAGAATTCTGGGAGGAAAGATGCACTGTTTAATATAAACTTAAAAATACATATAATCATTAGAAATGAGAATGCTTAGAACAGAGGGCTATTTATTAAATTTCTGCTGCTTGATCTCGGCTTAGTCAGTCCTGTGAACTAAACAACACACAGTTACAATCCTGAAACTTTTCAGAATTACCCAGTTAGATTTACTACAATTTAATTCTGTTCTTTCATGTTCTGAGTTTAACTTCAGGATCTTATTCCTAAAGAGAGAAAATCAATTGATTTTGCTTGTCACTGCAATGAAATCTGTCACTGACAAAATATAATTTTTATATTGCAGTAGAACTTTCATGATAGTAAAATGACATCAAAGCACATAGTATAGCATACAATATCAATTTCACATACATTAAAGTCACAGGTATCTGAAGAAAGGAATAATATACTTTTACAACTGGCCTTACATTATCTACTTCCTTTATTAATTGACAGTATACTGTATATAACATTTTCTTGGGACTGGAGGTTACCGGGGATTAGATCCAGGGCCTTTGCATTAAGTTTCATCTCCACTATTTTTTAATTCTTTATTTTCAGGCAGGGTCTCATTAAATTATTAAGTTGTCCAGGCTGGGCTCAAATTTTTATCTTCATGCCTCAGCTTTCCAGAGGGCTAAAATTACAGGCATGCATCACTGTGCAATTTCATTACAATCTTTTTTTTAATGCAATCAAATGAATATTAGATAACCCTCTCTTAAGATTTAAAATAGTATAATCTAAAGGCAGAAAATAAATACAGAATATTTTCCTCTAACCTTCAAATTCTGCTTTTCTAAGGACATATAAATCATAGACAAGCCTTTAGCTTCTACTGTTCTAATACAAGCTCCCAGGAGACAGGAATGTGATAATCTAATAATTCAGATTTCAAAACAATACCTGGCACATAACAAGTGTTTGCTAAGTAAATGAATAAATGAATGTCTCTGCTGCTTCCCAAAATCCCACAATGATTATTTACACAAGAATATTCCTTTTGCATGGCTCTGACAGCACACAGCAAGAAACCAAAGAGATTAAGAGAATTTAATTCATTACAGGATTTTAACATTTAAAGTTGGATGCCCTGCAATTTGATCATGTCTTAGTTGTGAAATAGGAATAAATGTGTTCAAGAAATCATTAGAACATTTTAATCATTTTTACACACTCCTTTAGGGCCAGAGACACAGCTTAGCAGCAAGCGCAAGGGCCTGAGTTCAATTTCTCTCTCTCTCTCTCTCTCTCTCTCTCTCTCTCTCTCTCTCTCTCTCTCTCTCTCTCGCTCTGTCTAACACACACACACACACACACACAAGCTGGTGGATACACTCTCCCAGTTAAGCTAGCAAGGACAAGACAGCGGGTAAAAAAAGTGATTTCAAAGATCAATTAATTAGTTTAATCAGCTTTTATGAACTTGACTTGAACAATTCACCCTCAACAGTGAAACACTATATATTACATTATATGGATCAAACATTAACATATATTATTTTGATAATACATCAATAATGTGGTTTGGTTTCACGTTCTCTGGAAAAACTTTTGATAGTCATAGACAAAACCCAAACCAGGCTTTCCACTTGGTTTTCTTTCTCCAAATACCAATTCTCGGTGTGTACACACTCACTTGTGATTGTAGAGTCTCAGAGGCCAAATCCATTGCTGCTTTTTGTCTGTGGACCCTGAAATCAGAACAATGTGTTGCTCTTCTTCTTTAGATAGTTAGTAACCCACTTACTTGAGTAAGGATAGTGGTGGTTCCATCCGTAGCCTCGACTGTGAGGTTGTAGTTTGATTTTTGTTCTGCATCGAGAGGTTTGGCAACGATGATGGTTCCAGTGCCTTTGTCTACATCAAAGTGACTGTCAAAGTTGCCACCTGAGTTAAAAAGGACAAACACAGTTAAAACGGGAGAGAGGACAAAAACCTGGCATTTAATACTTCATGGCAGTGAAAAAAGATTTCTAACATAATGATCAAGATGAGTCCAAGGAGCCAGCATTGGAAAGGCAAGTGTGGCCAGTTAAAAGGACACTGCTTTTAAGGCCAAACTAACCCTAACTGTTAAGGAAGCCATGAATTGAGAGAAAGCAAGAAAGCAACCCCAAGAAAAAAATACGGTTATACTACTAATACATTAATCTCAGTTTGTTCTTACAGAGGTTCTGGACATCTAGTGAATTCATGTCCAGATAGCTACTTAAAAGCTGAATAAAAGCTTAATTGGTGTCTGGATATCTACTTAATTCATAACTACCATTCATGGATGTCAATTTAGTAACTATATAAAAATGTCACTAGCAATTTACAATTTTAATTTTTCCTGTTACTATGGACTGAATAAAGGATTAGCACATACCACACAAGCACTCTAGTGCTGAGCCACATTTCCAGCTCTAAAAGTTTAATTATTAAAAAATTTTTGTGATACACTGAGTATAATTCCTTAAGAAAATAACTATGACAAATGTTAATTCTGAAAAACATACTGGTAGTTAATTCTAGTCAATTGTAACTAGCAAATTATTTAAAAATAACTTTTCTCATTATTTTCATTAGTACTGTTATCTCATTTAATGAAAGTTTCTGTCCCAAAAATGCTATTCCAATAGATTCCCAATTTTATTAATAAAGCTCTTTTTAAATCACTGCACTTAAAATACTTATACCAATGATATGAAATGGAATGAAAATAAAAGGCTGATGAAATTCTCCTACTCTAATCAAAAAGCAAAACAATATCTACATACACAAGATATTAAGTGAAACCTAAAACTATGGGTCTAGGGATGATTAAAAGTCAATATGTGTGCAGTTGGAATGGGTGAGATCAGAAGCAACTATGAAAAGAAATAGCAATGAAAAATAGTCACAGGAAATAAAAGAATTTTAACAAAAATCAATGCTTTTATTTTAGATCTCATAATCTGAGGTAAATTATGTGATCTCAGCAGATACCTTCTGCTGTACAGTTCAGGTCACAAGTCATCTGAAAGACGTAAAAAACTTCTCTAGCAAGTGTATCTCCTGGCACAGCCAAAAGAAGCAAGTAAGCATGGAAAGAAAGCACAGAAGAAGAAGGGCAGTCAATCAAAGCAGATCCAAACACGGCAAGTATTAAACAGTGAAGTCAAGCACTGCACAAGAGCAACCCATCATTCTGCAAATGAGAAGTAAAACAACTATTTTCATTATTGTTAATGAGGATAGTAATTCATTCTCCCCTTAAACTCTAAGGGTTTGAGAGGCGTTATCAACAGTTTCATATAAATCATCAAAACTGGAGAAAACAAACCAACTGTCTAGTGTGAAAGTTCAGGAGGAAAAGCCTGTCCCGCCTCTACCCTGTGACTCCTGCTGCTTATGACCCATCAGCTTCTACTTTCTGAAAGAACATCTAGGATAACACAGAAGAGGAGATTGCATAGCAATATGAAATTCTCTCTAGAGATAAATCACAACACATACTACTGATCTGGAGTATCACTACAATTAAAATGTGAAGAAAACATAAAGCTCTAAGATAGCACAGTTTAATGTAAATTTTAAAAAGTGGATCAAGTAACACATTGCATTATACATTAGAGCTAAATTAAACTAAAAAAAAGAACTGACTTAGCCACATAAACTTTAATAGAAGGTGGATTAATTTAATGAACCCTGCTTTCTACTAAAACTGAGATAAATACAAATAAAAAGCCAAGACTGTACTATAAATTTTAAGTTTTTTTTTGTTTTGTTTTGTTTTATCTTTTTCGTTTTTATCGGTACCGGGGATCGAACTCATGACTGCCTGCTTGCAAGGCAGGCGCTTATGCCGCTGAGCTAAATCCCCAGCCCCAAATTTTAAGTTTTACAAATCAAAATCTGCAGGCTTATCCCTGTTCAACACTGATGTGTGTGATAGTCACACAGGCACAAGATACAGCTTTCAATATTCTAATCATAATCACTAAATATAATATGCCATATGTTACATGTAACAAATACAAATTGGGACCAAAGCATTTAGGTTTCTCTGTAAAGTAATTCCTTAATGCATTTAAAAAGTAAACAATAAATTTTAAAAATCTTTTATAAAAACCCATAACTCTGTGAAGTCAGAATATCTATTTTTTAAATAAATTTAATATATACTATACATTATAAAAAACTTTTCAATCAAGTTATTGTTTAAAGCAAATGCTCCACCCACAGATATTATTCTTAATTTTAAATTCTGAGATGTTCACAAAAATCAGAAACCATACGCAGGTCTCTTTTCAGTGGAAGTTACCCAAGGACAGTGAAAACTGAGAAAGTGAGCAGTGCTTACCAGTGATGTCAAACCAAAGAGGTGTGCCAGGAGGCTCAACAGATATTACTCCAATCATGTGAGCCACGGGATCGCTTTCCATTACAGTAAAGGTAAAAACTGATTCTTCAAATGAAATTGGCTCTGGGGGCGGTTTGGGCTTGGAGATCCACTCAATATGCAGTCTAGTGGTTGACGACTTTTGAGGGCGACCATTATCAACTGCCTTGATCTATACAATATAAAAGGAATAAAAACAGCAAATCCGAAGTTACATCCGTAACTGAAACATAGATGGGTTCAGTCTCAAACTGAGCTAATTTCAAATATTTAATATTCATATCTGGATATATTTCATTTTTAAATGCTTGATGAGCAAGCATTTTGTAACTAAACTCAGTGTAAAAATAACTGGAGTGAGCCTTAAAGAGGAGAAAACAAACCCACACTTATGAAACATTATCAAACACTGCTTACTATATCAGGACTCAAATACGGACTATTTATTGTATAAAATTAGAAGAGGTTCAAGACTGGGTTCATAGTCAGAGGCTATGATCTTAACTCACTGAAAGAATATCATATTCTCCAGCTGCAGAGAACTTCTTGGATGAAACTACTCCAGTTTTCGGTTCAATAAAAAACCTGCCATGCTCATTTCCCTCTTCAATGCTGTAGGAGATTTCTGCATTGGGACCTTCATCTTTATCTGTTGCTATCACACGATATAGAGGCTCTCGTTTGGCGTTTCTTTCTCTTTCTGGTTTTTCCCGCTCTGGCAATCTAATTTTGTAGAACTTCTGCAAGAACTGGGGTTTGTTGTCATTTTCATCGAGGATTTTCACAATTACTCTTGCAATGGTTGATTTGGGAGGAGTACCATTGTCTGTCACAGTGACCTGTTTTTTTAAAGGTAATAGGTCAACAAGATTTATAATACACACACACACATATATCTTCTTAACAAGTGCTGGCATTTACACATATAAACTTCTATTGTTCCCATAGCACTACGGCCCATACCATCTCCTCTCATTCTGACAGTGCAGAGGTACAGCAATCTCTCCCAGTTTAATCGATGGGTACCCAGGGAGCTGAGCAAAGGCTAAGAAGTAGCTGTCAGCTCCCACTCTTTTATGACCACACAGTCTCCTTTTCCTTGCACTATTGTGATTATCAAAAACGCTAAACAACCAAAAACTTGGTATTTTTAAGAACATAGATGAGATACATAAAAATTCTGCTTTGAATATTTAGCTCTCTTTAAAAAATATACTCTGTATATTTAAAACATAAAACTTTATACACTGCAGTTAAAACACTGTGATTTTAAAGTTTCATCGATAAAATAAGCTAAGGTGCATGCTAAGTATGACACACTGAAATAATACTAATCACTGTTTTATTGTTTGGCTGTCTTCTTGTGAAGAAATCTTTAGTGTTTAAGAAGCTGGACATAAACATTTCATCTTATGACCAACTTAATATTTTCAGTAAAAGCAATGTAAAAAGCTTGCACTTTTATGTAAATTTTTCAAGTCCTCAATTCAGGGATAAAGATCACAAACTGAGACACCAGTGCTGACTGCCTCTATATGCTTGTGTTAATTTCACTGTTAACAGTTCGTGTTTATGGCCATGTACACATTAAAAGTAATCATCTCAATAAGGGTTATTCTCCCCTCAATCACATCTCCCAACTTAACGTGATCACTGGCTCTCAAACATCATCACATTAGGACTTATATGATAGACATGTAAGAAAATACATAAACAATTACAAAACCTGGTTCTCATCAATGTGCTAATATTATCTTCAAAATCCTACATCCTTTAAATCTGTTCGCACTGCGCCTATTAACATTCATTGAGAAAAGTGCTTTGGAGTGAAGCACCCAATTAATGTGAAGTCTGCAGTCATAACTAGGGTGAAACAATGAGAGCATGATTTCAATGCTTATAACCTGCTAGCCTCAATATTTTGGCATCTGGTTATTTCCTTCAGCACCCACTTTTCCTTTCCTGTAGTGCATGGACATAAATTCAAAATGCCACACTATCATAAACAAAATGACTTCAAGGGGCCTACAAAACTTATGAAATAAAAACCGAAATGTAACACATGGCAAAATCACTAATGGGAAAGTACTGTGTCTGTGAAACCACCTTGCCTAGAGAGGATGTTTATAACTCATCCCCACACAGGCACAGGGCACAGCTACTAAAAACCAAGTACTTTACTGTCAAAGTTAGGAAATCTCAATCAAAGGTAAAATGGAATTTAGTAGGTAAAAAAAAAAAAAAAAAAAACAGCAATTAAAAAGAGAATTTTAAAAATTCACTACTTAGGCTCTTCTCTATTATCCACTGTAAGATGGAAGATGTACACAGTTAACTCACAATTAAACAAAGCACATGGCTTTTCCAGGTCTGGTTCCCATGTCAACAGTAGCCTCAACACGTGATAAAGAAATGTCCACAGTGGTAATAGGCCTCCTTGGCTGGATTTCCCTCTCTAATAGTTACCTTTTCCTTGTGTTTCATGGGCGTGCTGGCAACTGCACCCACAAATAGGTGATTAGTAAATGATAAGAAGCTATACTTTTGGCTTTTCTAAGCACTGAAAGGAATTTTTATTTAACTATAATAATGAGAAACCTTACTGGAAGAGAACATTTTAGAAGACATATCCAATTTTAATCTATATTTACTTTTAAAAAATTTAGGAATATTCTAAAACCACAAAAAATTCTTAATTCTTGAACAATGGGGAAAATGTGAAAACAAGCTCAGGTCAAACCAGATCTATAAATATTATCTCAAATACATAGTACTGATGAAAAAGAAAGCTGCAAAAGATATACAGAAAATATCTGCTGTACGAATGAAAATGAAATCCGAAATGATATTATGTATAGTTGCAGTTACTGTGCATCTGAATGTGTGTATATAAAAGTGCAAAAACTCTGAACAGAAAGCACGGTGGTGCTGTGTGCACTGAGGACATAAAAAGGCAAGAGAAGGAGCCATAAGCTACATTTAGAATATTTTCTTTATTTTCCTTGTCCTTGATGGACCAGAAGCTAACCTAACAAAATACCAGCAGTTAGAATACTAGCCAATAGGAGCATGGTCTATCTTCTAAGCATACTTATAACTGCAAATATGTAAAAACTAAAAATAAACCAATGCTTACTTCTAGTATGTGTTCATCTTGCTGCTCTCTATCTAGTCTCCTTGATGTAGTTGTGATAAGACCTGTAAAACATTAGGAAGTTCGTTAATCTTCAAAAACTAAAGTCAGCTGCAGAATGCTGTAAACTGAAACCATACTTTCATGAAGTCTGAAAAAATCTTCTCAAAAGGAAAAAAGTGAAAAGAATCAAATTTAAATTCCAAATACAGTTAACTGTTTTACTTACAAACAATAACAGACTGTACTTGACACTTTCTGGCTTTAATAATTCTTGGTTATGGCAGATAAATGACAGAATAAAGAAAACAGAAAGCTGAAATCAGCTACATATTCTTTGTTGGCAGGTAAAAAAATCATCAGAAAGGATTTTTTTAAAGTGAGATGAAGTCACCCAGTATTTCTTTTTCACCCATATCTTCCCAAAGATATTGACGCTACTATAAATATATTTTTAAAAATTTAAAAAATACATCAGTATAACTTACTGCCTTTGAATCATCTACCCTCCGAAGTGAAGAACTGGTGTTTTTTTTCCAGGTAATGTCTCTCAAACCACAATCATTTAATTCCCAATAAAGTAAGTGATTCTTGAAATTCTCTATTCTCTATTTCAATTATTTTATCAAACTAGTCTAAGTTTAAGCCTCTCTCTAGAACTCTGTAACTGTGAACATACCTGAAACCTACAGACAGTACAATTAAGTGTGTATTTGTGTTTCACCAAAAACACAAACAAAATTCCCAACCACTAAAATGACCCCTGCAACCACTGCCAACGGAGGACAAGTGCGTACAAATAGCCATGTGCGTCACATCTACAGGTCAGGCAGCCCATGTGGCAGAGCAGGAGCTTTGAGAGCTAAGTGTTCCCCTGTCCAGCACTGCACAGGGAAACAATCTTCATAATTCATAGTTGAGATCTGACTCTACCCCTCTAATCAACTTTCTCCTATGTTTGTAACCAATTTTATAGAACTATTAATTAAAGGCTATTTAAAATGTTTCTCTAAATTTGTAAATGAAAGATTTGTGTTTTCATTTAATTTGTTTTTCTTACATAATTACCAAGAATCTCAGCCAACATTATCTTCTCCACAATTCAATTAAGCAGCAGTCTTTTTCCAGTAAAAACAACAAAAGACTGTATTGCTGCTAGAAACTGGGGGTTTTTCTCCAACCATACTTACAGATTAAAAGGAGTTCAAGGAATATCCTTTACACTGCAAGAGCATGAAATTTGATGTAGGACATGCTTGATTTTTCACTAGAAAAAATCTTTTAAGAGTTATTTGCTCTAGCAAGTATCTATATAGTTCAAACATGGCAATGATACAGCTCAGCAGCACAGTGCCTGCCTGGCAAGCACAAGGTCCGGAGTTTGACTCCCGGTACAAGAAAAAGGCAAAAAAATCATTGATTAGTCCCACTTAACTGTCCTAATATGACACCAAAAAGTTATTACAAATGGTAACATCACATGGAACAGTAGCCTGGCATCATCACAATGGCAAAACATTATTCTTCTTCTGTCTAATACTTTATCATTTGCCCAACAACACTGCACAAACACTCACTCTGCTAACAAAGAATATGCCTATATTCTTAATATCAACTCAATATAAAACCAAAAGGTACTGGACCATCTCCTTCATAGAATTGGAATTATAGCATGTCCTACCTATATGATTTATATTAATTCCTCTCTATCACCTATTTGGAACACTGATTCCATTCAAATGCAGTAAGTTTTAATGATCCCTTCTTACCCAGTTTAGCCTGGCCACTACCAGCTCTCTTTAAACAACCCTGGAGTACCACTGCTCAGCGCTTGTGCTCCAAGCCATACATCAAACCATGGTATTAGGGTCACTCATTCAAAAATCTTCTGTATGTATCAAAAAGTCCTGGAGGGTAGATTTGATGCCTGTCTTGGACAGCTTGTCTAACTGGTATCTATTAACTTTTAAAAAAATGAGCTTTTATTTTTAAATTGTCACAGAACTAACACTAAAACTATTAAAGAGCAGAATTAAAATCTGAATCGCAGTAAGACAGCTTGTTAAACCTGGAAATGACACAAAAATATGACACAAAAAAGGGTTAATAGAGGGAACCATTCAACCTGCTGAACAAGAATGTCAGGTACTCTGACAGGCCATCTAGGTGCGCAGACGTTGAGGCCCAAATGTGAAGTGTGGGGAAGCAGTGAGGTGTACAGACAGAAGTGGCTGTCTACAAGCAAATCAGAGAATATGAAAGCTAAATAATCCCCCAACGGAGCAAAACACAGAAAGTAAGAACCAATCCCACTTGAGACTAAAGCAATGTGCTAGAAGAGAATCCCAGCGTTCCAGAGCCAAAGCCAGAGAAATTGAAGGAAAAAGTACCAGCTCCACAAATTTCAGAGAAGCCTAGAAGAGAACAGAATGCGAGCAGGAAGGCAGTTCTGAAAACAGCCATTTTTTAATGAAAAGGATATTGCTCATCATACTACAATAGAGGGCATGACATTCGAGACCTGAGCTAACCAATACAGCAGCCACCAGCCTTATGTGGTTAATAAAATGTAAATTAATTTAATTAATTTAAAATTCGATTTCACAATCACATTAACCAGATTTCAGATGCCCAGCCGCTGCCTGGGACCAGTGACCACAGGACGGAAAGAGGCAGCTGTGGGCCGCTCCTCCCAGGAGAGGAAGCTCCACTGAACAGCACCAATACTGACATGGAATACAATCCACAAATTAAGTTAGACTTACCCCTCTGTACAGCATTCACAAGATACTGCAGATGACAAAAGAAAAACAAACAAAAAGGGAAAAATCTTGTAGCGTCAAAACACTCCCAGCAAAAGAATCCCCTATCAAAAGGGGTCCCTGAGTGTGCAATGCAAGTACCTCCCCCGCAGGGCTGCGTGAGGTCAGCTGCCCTCTCCCCTCTCCAAGACAGCTAAACTTAGTTTATTCATAGAAAATACTAGACGACTGGGCGATTTTAGAGGTATGCTGGCTCTCAGGGTCATGTATTATACTGAAAGTGTACCATGCTGGGACTGTTATCCAAACATTCCGTAAGAATCCCCACTCTGTCATGTAAACACTTGTGTTTACATTCATTCTCCGCTCTGGGCATTCACACATCTGATTACTGCTGACCCTCCTCTCATCCTCTGCCCACCTGACAAATACCTACCTCAAAAATGAACCCCAGATATACTTTGTCCCTATAGCCACTACATGTCATAAACTATGTAGGTATTAAAAATACTAATAATATTATCCATTTCTTTCATTTTATTTTCTTCTATTTTATTCGAGACATAGTCTAGCTGTGTAGTTCAGGCTGGCCTTGAGTTCACTATGCAGCCCAGGCTGGCCTCGAACTCACAGTGATCTTCCTGCCTCAGCCTCTAGAGTGCTGGGATTACAGGTGCGCACCACCGTGCTCAGAGACTTCTTTCATTTTAAACATCTGTGTTCATACCCAGTTTTCTGCTAAATCCCAGAAAAATACATGCTGTATTATTAATTTAAATGAGTTCCAGTGATGAAGTTCAAATAGTTGAGCCCACATGAAATTAAATTTTTCCAAGGTCCCCATAAATCATTCATAACGCCAGATTAGAGTTTAGTCCTCCTGAAGCTCAGATTATCTTTTTCTCCCCATCATGCCAAACAATTTACTGCATAATAGCATTTCAACGCTATAACAGAAAACTCAGAACCATGACTTCCATAAAACTTAAGAAAAAACAGCAACGTGAGTCTTTATAGATTTTAAAAATCTTAAAAAGCAAATCAGAAAAAGAGATGCAAAAATAGAAAAATGCACATGCAAATGCTTTCTTCTGTAACATTGCTTTTATTTCCATTTTTTCCCAGCACCTTTAAATTAAAAATAGAAAGAAAAGACAAAAGCTAGAAGCTATTTTTGCTTGGTCCAGAAAAACACTGCATTCTTTATACCAATCCTCTGATACATGTGGGCCAGCTGAGACAGCAGGCAAAGCTCGTTCTCAACAATTAAGTTACAAACTTACCTCATAAGTTTATTCTGATTTACTCTGATAAACGTATTTAAGAAACTTTTTGCCTTTCAAGGCCACTTTAGGCATATAGAAAATTTACATAAGACATACAAATGCCCAATTAAACTGTTTCAATATGAAATTTTACTCTGCTATTTCTTACAAATCAAAAGCAAACTCACCTCCCAATTCCTCCAAGAAAAGAGATAAAATGAACTCCCCAAAGTAGACAGCACTCTACAGAACCATATTAAAAGACTAAAGTAGATGGGAAATAAACTGAGACAGTCCAGACAGAAGGGAGTGTATTTATGTATGTATTTGACGTATTTTGTTCTGTCCACTCAGCGTGTAGAGATGACTTAGACAGTTTTTGCTTTCAAGAAAGGATGAAGGCTAGAACTTGGGCAAGACTACAACTGAGAAACATCCAGACAGAATACAGAGTGGGGGTACACAGGGATAGCAAGGAAAACAAAGGCTTTTGTCGTGGGCTCTACATTTCAAGAAAATGTGAACTTGGTTGCATGATGACACAAATGCAATCATCTCGTCTCTGTTACTGCAGCATACTCGGAGCCAACCACTCAGCATTCAAGTGAAGATCTGCAGGTCCAGCCATCCCCAAGCCAACTGACCACTTTCCCCAATGTATGAAAGGCTGGTCAAGCCTGCAAGAGGCCAGAATTGCCCAGCAGAATCCTAAATTAGGACGGTTGTTTTAAGACACTACAGTTTTGGGACAGTTTTGCTTTTACAAAACAAAAGTTAACTATTATATCAAATCATCTCATCACTAACGGTATTGGGCTTATTACTAAATCCTAAGGTACTATATTTTGATTTTTAAACATACCGCCTCATTTAACAACTACCAGTAATATCTCTATTTTCACAGGTTTAGAGAAATTAAAGAGCTTATAAAATCACTTAGTAAAATGGGGGTTAAAGAAATCCAGATCATGAGCATCTGTAATCCACATTAAAGTGAGAGAAACCAGGGAGGAACTGAAGGTTTTGGTTCTATGAAAA